CCTGAATCTGAGACACGAGAGACGTGTCATAGTTCAATTTGTGACAGTGACCGCGTTGCACTGTCTGCAATAAAGTATTTCCATGATGGCCCAGTAACTTGTGTTCTCTTAATTGTGGTGGCGCAGCACCTGTGACAACTCATTAAAGAACATTGAAGCAAATCGGGAAGCTCCGCCCCCCTTGCTTGCCTGCCCTTTGCATCAATGACGCAAATCTCAAGCAAAGCGGCGCTTTGCTTAGTTATAAGGGAACAATTAGGCCAGTCCGTGGTGGTTGTACGGAGTAAGCCTCCTCTGCTTCAAGGAGTTTTTTTTTAAAGAGATTATTGATGCTTGTGAATACTATATCCCTGAATACCGACTTGAAACTGTTAGACAAATTTCGCCGTGGACTATTCTGAGGCTGTCCGCTTGGCACCGCGAGACGGTTCAGCATGTTTCTCTAAATGGGACTCCGCTGTGATCTGATGTCTACCTCAGGCTCGTCGTCAACGACCTAGCTGTAATCAAGTCATTCTTCACCCTCACATTTAAATTCTCCGCTGTGACTGGTCTAAGCTTTGGAGTGGTGTTTTTCACAGGCCATGCCCCGAGCAGGGCGCATCGAGCGGACCAGACCTTGCCCGTACCGCAATATTGCTGCCCAATTCTCGTGCCCAACTCTCATCCACCACCAATGGCGTGGGGGAGGCTCAAAGGAGTGCGATAAGGGTCCGGTTCAAATGTGGGTTCACTTTCCAGTCTCATACCGCCCGTTCCTGGTGCGCCCCGGAGACGTCACCTACATTGCCATTCCTCACGTCGTCGTCAGTCTCCGCTTCCCCAAAACCCCGTCGATTACCTCTGACATTTACTCTACTTCAACTCGAGCTCCAGAGCTGCGAAACGGCGGCCGCAACTTGAGCTGCATCGGACTGGCTTCTCGGCGAGCTCAAGCCTGTGATCGTCGTCTCTATCAATCAGGATTCTTCTCAGGAGACACTTGTAGACTGGATTGACTCTTTCCAGCCCCCCGAGGACGACGTTTTCTCAAAAGGATTCTTAACTGATAAAGTCATAGTGAAGGGCAATGCTCAAGACTCTCAACGCGTCCAAGACGCATGGCCAACTCTCAGCCCAAATCCTGTCACCAGGTCTTCGGCACCAAGTCAAGTTCTATTGGTGGCGACCCCGGAGCGCGATACTCCCAATACCTCTTATTTTCTAGGCCCGGGCCTTCAACTTTACCAAGCGTGGCGGATGTATCCAGACATACAAGGCAGCTTTGCCACGTCCCTCTTCCCTTCCCGGAAAAGGTCACATGAGTTCTACCCCCTTGATGTGCGCCCGGGTGGGATTGGGACCGCAGTCGCGGTGCCCAGTCGACCGTACAACAAGAGAATCCCATCAAAACCCCTCGCCATACCGCAGTTCAGCATGAAAGGCAATTTCAGACTGTCAGGTATAATGACAACCCAGTCAAATCGTGCCTGGTGCGAGTAACACGATGGAAAACCCGAGAACGAAACGGCCGCGTACGTGAAGACACTCATCCATCTTGGTGCCGTTTTTGTAGGTAAGAAAACAATGTGCTCTTTGGCCTCTTCAAAGGAGGCAACGGATCGATAGATCGACTTCCATGCCCCATTCAACCTCCGAGGTGATGGCTACCAGAGCCCATCTGGAAGTACGACAGGGGGGGCAACAAGCCTTGCCGCATACGATTGGCCAGACTATTCCGTTGGAACAGACAGTAGGTGTTTTCTCCCTGATCTTGCAACAAAAAACTGACCAGTGCTTGTGCTACTGGAAGTATTCGATGGCCTGCAGCGTGGTGCGGACTTTTCGGTCTCTATACGACATGGAAAGAAAAACGCTGGAGGGTGTGTACGCAGCTTACAGATCTGCGCCCTCTTCCGTCACTTTGGATATATGGCTTACTCCGTGGCAAGGTTTATGGGTACTATCGGGCTGCTTTCCAGAACCATGGATGAAATGCAGAAACTTGTCAAGAGGACGATTTCGAGCGTTGGAGCAAAGGATGACAACAAAATTGTTATTACCTTACCTAGAGCTATTGACGGGCATGGTAGCTACAACGAATAATGCATTAGTTTCCCACAGAAATACTTTACCCAGAAGACATTTTTCCAATGGCTAACTCGAAGTAACAAGCGTTGGTTGATCGCTTCGTCGGCCATTTGGAAGCCTACCTGGGAATCAAGGTGATAAAGATGAGCATCGCCAATCGATGGCGCTAATGTCCTCCAGATGAAGTAAATGGGAAGACCATAGAGGAGTTCTGAGACAAGGTTTTAACTGGCTTGCTCTATAACACCCGCTACAGCGAAATGACTAACATAACTCAGGCTGCTTACAATCCGTTGTACTATGACGGATACCACGAGTTCGACGACTTCCGGAACGAATACGAGAAAAAATTTGGCAAACCAGTTTACGTGGGCCCTTACATGCGGTGGAAATGATTTGTTCCACTTCAATGCCTCAGGTTAGGATACGCACTCACCCTCTACAGTAAACGAGGCGCTGAAGTGACCAAGGAGATGAAAGACAAGTCTCTGGGAGACGTCGAGGTTTATCGTCGTTAGTTTAAAGCAAACGTCCTATACGCTACTCAGAATGGCGGTACATCGGCTATCATGTTTATTCCTTGCGGCAATATTTTGCCCAAGTCTCGTGACGATGCGAACAACTAGTCCCCTCGTCTCTTACTACGTTTCTGGATAAGGTGGCTAAGTTCTGCACAGTTCCCCAGGGCCAGTGGCTGCTTTTACCTGGAACTACATTGCTTCTGTCCACGGGCTACCACAGCTGGTTAGCCCGAGTGAGTCCTATCCAATATACGTTTACTGCAGACCCATGCTAACCTGTTGCATTATTCACAAGTTGGACACATAGCTTACGAATCGAGAGTGACCAGGCGTATTGAGCAACTTCCGTTCGTGGGTATAATTATCGGCGTTCCCGGTCAGTTCTGCAAGTGTATTTGTATAAAAGAAAAACTGATAATGTTAATCTAGGCAGTGACTTGCGGTTTGTCAACCTGGTGAGGAATGCTCTTGAGCGAGCTAATTGGCCAACAGTAGTTCTCACAGGGCGCAGCATGTTCACGGACCACAAGATGAACTACTGAGGCAATCAGGACTCGTGATAAACACTTCTTGCTACTATTTACAAGACTGTCACGCTCGTGCTGGCGCTAAAATATTAAGGTCACAAAAGCACGCCATGAAGTAATCCAAGAGCGAGTAATAGAATGTAAGGTGACAGCTCTACGAGGAGCAGAAGTAGACGATCCGGACATGACGGCATGGAGAATAGTTTAAATTACAGGCGGGACACAGGACACGGGACACGTGTGGGGAAATAATACAGAAGTCCCCAAGAAGCTTCTTGAGACGTGGCGTGGCTTGAGCCTTTCCGAGAAGCCAGCTGGGAATGCCTGCGACATGTGGGGGATTATGCAATCATGTGCCTTGCTTCAGATCACACCAGCCTGGCCAGAAATAACGGGCAGCCCAGAGCTAGTAGTTACTGTCCAGACATTATAGGAATACCGGATTAAGTCGCAACAGAATTCGGGTATTGTGTCCCTATCTCGTGCCATACTTCATGTTTGAATTCCAAGAACAACAAGCCCAGAGGAAGGTCTATCATTAGTATTTAGGGATTGGTAACAACAAGGGGCTCGAAATGCTAACACGCCCACCACTTTGTTGGTTCGCGACGACATGGAGAAAGTGAAGTCTGCATGTGAGCTTGGAGACTAATCTTGTCTTTGCTGATGGCCAGAGCGACTAAGAAGCCTGCTTCAATTTATCATGGTTGATAGTCTCTAATCTGATTACTATTTGCAAGGTCGCTAAACTATAAGACCTTGTTTTAACTAAACGTTGTTCGTTGCTTTGTATTCGCATTATATTCGATTTATTCGTATTTTTTCACTTGCCCTGTAATATGACTTATCCCAGGTAGTGTGAAAAGGGCTAAATAGAGGACTTGAAGCAAAGGGCTAGATTCAATAATAATATCGTAGGGTCTCCAAGGTCCCTGGTTCTCCAAGGGGAAGGGAGGGACTAATAACCTCTTTATATACATAAAAGGAACACCCGTGCCTAGAACTCTTACCCAGGCACGTGTTCTAGTTGTGTAACTAATACGTCCTCGATCGCAGTGCCTCGTTATTGCGCTCGCGATCTTGTTGGGCTTTCTGCGTGTACCAGGTAGTTAGTTCCGTTTCGCCGCAAAGCAACGAACAATGGACAGAAAAAACATCTCTATAAGGCCACTGAAATGCAAGATTGCGTAATAAAAAGTGGAATGCGATAGATATTACAGGGATGTTATGGCTCTAGACCAGGAAGCAGTGACGGCTATTAGCTTTGATTAATTAAGAGAGGCGCCACCTCCTATAACCAACGCTGCTATTGTGTTGTCTACGTTGCCTCGCATTACGGGATGCTGCCTAGCATTACATGTAGATTTACCTAGGATAAGTAAGTGCTAGACTTCGGAGGTAGTCCGGTTCAGCGAATCACACCCTACTCACGGCCTGCGCAGGTATTATGCATTAAAGGCTAGGGGGCGGCCATATGCAGGGCGGTCAAATAGGTCTACACTGCTCCGTGTGGCCCCAGCACTTGAAGTACTAGGGCCTCTTACTGGCTAGATAATCGCGGGTTGGCGGAATTCTCGTGCCGGAGGCAAAGTCAAATAGAAATAGCACAAGCAAATAGGTTGTCCTCGTATGAATAACGGGTTTGAGGTTAAGATGCCAGCCAGCAAAGCCCTGTGGTGTCTCGGGGAGACTACAAGACGCTACACGTCTCAGAGTTTAATAATACAAGCCGCCTTTTATGCTACGTATTGTTATATAATAGCCCATCAACTCTGGCTTTATCTTGTTTCCCCTGCCAAATGATATACGAATTTTACTACTCTCTGTAGAGAGAATACATAAGTTACCTGTCAAGTCAGCCCCCACGGGTTCTAATAGCAGAATGAATAGCAGCATCGACAACAACAGCAACAATAGCATCAACTCGCGAAGAAGCGCCTGTGACCGCTGCCGGGGCCACAAGCTTCGCTGCGTAAGGCTGTCCGGTGCAAATTTCTCCACTGACAGTAACCCAGGGGTGTTGCCGGCGTGCGAGCGACGCATCAAGGCCGGTGCTGAGTGCTTGCAAACTATACGCATGCGCCGGGCCTCGCTGAGAAGAAGTAGTTATGATAGGTCTGTCGATGCCTGTCGGCGATCTGTTGATAGCAACGGTCCAGCCGTACCTAGAGATGGGCCTTTCCAAGATCAGAATTCCCACCCTCCCTTTAGTCTGGCAATGCCGTCACAACAAGCCGACCAAGGCCGGCTTTCCGTCGGCGCGCCATCGCGGAGTCAGAAACTGCCCAGCCAGGCACGCCCTGCTTCGAGGGACTGGCGCCGACGGACTATAGATTTCGATTACACCGATATCAATGCCACCTCCAGGATGGAACCCTTTCCCATCCCAATCACAACACCAGCCGACAGAGACGTGGGCTCCGGAACTGGCATTTCTTTTGAACTCGACGAGAGCTTCGATTCCGGGATGCCAAACTTTAACGCGACATTCGGCCGTGGACCAGGGCAGGGTAGTCTGGCCAACCGGTTCGATGATGGCCCCGATGATATGGTTACTTCGACCAAGAACAGCAAGTTGACAGATGGAAGCTCCGACGCCGACAAGGAAAAGGATAAAGACAAGGACAAGGACGAGTGCCTACATCAGCTGTCCGAGTTGAGCTCGAGACTCATGAGATACTTTGGCAAGACGGGCGGTGCCCCCGCATCGCTCGAGGATATATTAAGCTACTCGACGCCTGCTCCGGTCAGCGCCGGTGATGGTGCCAAAACAGACTCTTACGCCGCCAAGAACATTATTGGGATACTGCTCCAGAGCTCGCAGATATTTCTTGAGATTCTCGAGCGACTAGAGTCTTCCATGGCGCAACAAGAAGACCAGCAACAACAGCCTTGCTCGCCATCCAACTCGGAATACTCGTATGTGGACTCTCCCAACGAGACCGAATTGCTCTTTGGCGACAGTAGGGCAAGCGACGAGACGCACATGTTGGAACTTCTCATCCACAATGATAAAGTTGACGGAAAGACTACTCAGTTACCAAATGCAAAACACCACGAGCCGTTGTCCACCCCGCCACCGATGGTAGCCGGCACAGCAGCAGCCTGTCGGTCCTGCCATCGACGGCAGGGATCATTTGGCATACCTTATGCTTTTACCGTCATGACGTGCTACATGTGGCTATTGCAAGGCTACGAAATGGTGTTTGCCACCATTCAGGACGCCCTTTTTTCACAACGAGAGCAACGATACCGACAAGCCGGATTGCGCCATGATGCGTCGCGAATGGCGCAAGGGCCACAGATGTTGGGTTCAGCATCTCTACCTCCGATGGCTGATCCCAAGAGAATGGAACCTTTTGTCTTACCAAACATCCGGATTGGTGGATTCAGTCTCGACGGCCACCCCAACCTGCAGGTCGAGATGCTGATCCACGTCAGTTGTCAAGTGCTGCAGAGGATCAAGTCCATCCTGGGCATTCACCAGACACAAGATTGCACGCCTTGCCACAAGCATGGCGCGTTTCATATGAAGTGTGCGCCCGCCCTGCTGCACATGTATCTCGACGGCACGGGAAACACGGCAAGCGGCGGCGGTGCTACTAGCCCCCGACCAGACCTTTGGGATACGATTCAAGATATCAGGCAGCTTCTAGGTAGTAACAGCTAGAAATGCAAGGGAATGCAATAGAGTAGGCACATATGGTGGCGGGGACTAGATGCAATGCGATGTGGCGGAGCATCACGTCATTGACTCGTCAGTGAGGGACACGGGCAATGCATCAATAATATATGTATGTAGTATTTCCGCCAGTGGGGCTGGAACGGCTCAACTAGACGCTGAAGAATACATCTGGCAAGTCAGAGGAGAGCTGAATGGTGTCCAGGTTATGCGAGGCTGCTTTTTCGTGTCGTATTCTTCTTCTTCATAGCGCTCACTTTGGAATCCTGGCCCTTGTAGTTCCTGCAACATTGAAGAGTTTCACCCGAGCTTCACGGCTTACGGCATGTCCCGAGGGAAGAGGTGTCCGGCCTGCTTGACTGCCAGCTCTGACTTCCCGCTGTCTACCCTCATTTGTGGATCTTAACAAGTTACTACATGATATGGATATTTACTACAGCCGGCCGATCACACCCTATACAGAGCTTCCTGGAAGCCTTTATAGTCCGATTTGATATCAAGGTCGGTGATAAAGGAGTCTACGCCGACTCCGACAGTCCGAATCCGAGTCCGAAGAACTCTAGCACTTGGACAACATCAAGCCAATGCATTCAAATCCCTTTTATCCCTTTGCAAGGGTGTTCCGCGATGTGTCAAAACTGAGTTGGTAGGGGGAACCGAGGCCGGGGGGGTAACAACATTAAAAGTATCAGCCTATACACGCATTTTGTGCTGAACCGAGACTGATTAACTACCCCACGATTCAATGTCCTATTCATATTTACACAGCCATTCGCTACATTTTTGTCTTGTTTCTTTTACAGTTAAACGGGCGTCAAACCAACTATTCAAGTCAACATGTCGTCGTGGGATCATAGACAGCACATGCCAAACTTGCAGGGGAAAATCGCCCTGGTAACAGGCGGCAAGTAAGTACCTTGTCGTGGAGAGGAGGCTACAATAGCATATTCGCGAATTCCAATGCCACTGACCTCAACATGTAGCGGCGGTATCGGCTACCAAAGCGTAGTCTTCCTTGCCAAGGCCGGCGCCAAAGTGTATTTCGGGGCTCGCTCTACCGAAAGAGCTGAAGCAGCCTGCAACAAGATGTACCAAGAGAACCCCAGCGTGCGACCGGGCCAAATTACCTGGCTGCACATGGACATGGCCGACATGAAGAGCATTCACGTTGGCTGCGACAAGCTCCGCGAGACGGAGCCGAGGCTGCATATCCTCATCAACAATGCTGCTCACGAAGGAACAGAACCGGCCAAAATAGTTGACCCCGGCGTCCAGGTCACCATGCAGACCAAGTAAGGCAGCATCAACTTGCATCAATTCTTGCTAACCTTGATCAGCCACGTGGGTGTTTTTTCCCTGACGCAACAACTTCAACCGCTGCTCAGAGCTGCTGCCAAGGAGAAGGACTCGGACGTCCGTATTGTCATGGTATGCATTGCGCTGTTCCTTCTCCGTCCTCCAACTCAACGGCATAAACTGAAAGCTGATGCGTCCAACATGCCGGGAGTAGGTGAGCTCGGGTGCTCCTTCATTCTCTCACCCTGAAGACTACCGCCCAGACTTCTCCAACCCTCATGGCGGCGACTTGGTGTATCCAAGCGGCCAGTCACTGGCCAAGGACGACGGCTTCATGGCTTGTATGAAGAGATATAGCGTGTCCAAAATGGCCTTGAATTTGCAAGCCTCTGAGCTGCAAGCCCGTTATGACAAGGAGGGCGTACCTATACTTGTTGTATCAGTGTGTCCTGGGACGGTGTGGACGCCTGGCACGTGGCGCGCGGTGCCGTGGTCCCTCTACCCGATTTTCTGGCTCAAGAGTTACAACGAGATCACGGGACCTAAGCCGGTATTGTTCGCTGCCGTGTCTCCTGAAGTTCGGGAACAAGAGAGGTACTTCAAGGGACAGTTCATCAACAGGAGCCACAGGGTCATTAGGGGTCACCCGGCCACTCATAGCGCTGTTTTGGCAAAGGAATTGTGGCTGTCGACTGAGGAACTCGTCAGTGAATTCAATCAAAAGTATAGAGACGGGAGGGAGGGCAGTGATGGAGCCTCCTGAGCTCCATGTCACCTAGGCAGAGTTGAATTGTGCATTTTATGCGCCAAGACTTTAAGATCTGTCAGCCAGAATTGGATAGAAGCAAGTTCCATCACAATATATAGTACCTAACAACTAGGTTCTATATTACCTAGCATTGTGAGTCTCTCGAATTTTGTAGCTCTCATTTTTGTGTGTTTCCTTGCTCTTTTTATTGTAGCTGTCGAGAGTCCCAATCATGGCATTTCTCAAGCATATAATAATTTGTTGCGAGACTATATAGGCTTGTAAACTTTTGGTTTCGAAATCTACAAAAAAAGAAAAAGGAAACATTGCACTTGAATAGCTCATATTTTGTAAGCTCATAATACCAAAACTCTACACTACGGCCTAGAAGAAACTCTCGTGTCGCACCAGCCTAGGAAAGACAAGTGGCGTGGCAGACGCACTGTTGAGATACTCCCCTAACAATGGATTCAAGCCTTCCTCCTCTGCCCTCTCTACCCATTCTTTCATCAAGACCGTCTGAAAGACAGAACCGTGCTCTCTCTCCATCACACCCTTCATGTCGGAGAGTGGAACCACCTCCTCACCCGACTCATATAAGTATTTCACATGGCCAGGCCACGAGTAGTCCTCGTACACCTCGTCGACAATCTGCATTGCGGCGCGATCCACGGAAATAAAGTCTAGCCACCCGCGCCATAGGCTTGTGTTCGGAATAGCTGCCATCTTCCGCGAAAACTGGACGAGATTGCCCATGAGATCCGTAGCAGGCGCCCCTGGGCCTGTTATGGAAGAGGGGCGGTGAATCCAAATCGGCAGCTCACACTGGTCATTGACCTTTTCCAGATACCGCTCTGAAACCCATTTCGTGGCAAGATATCCATCTGTTCCAGCAGGTGGTGTGAATCCGCTGACAGATCGTTGCTCCCAACTACCTTGCCCAGTAAGATTGGCAACGGCGGCCGTGGAGATGTAGTGAAACGATGTCTGATGCGGGACGCTCAGGCGAACGAGTTCCTTGGTTGCTTCGACATTGACAGGCTTGAGGCTGTGGTAGGACTTGACGAACGACACATCTGCGCCGTTGTGAATAATAGCGTGAGCCTCGGAAAATATTGTGGAAAGCACCTCCTCAGATAGGCCAAATCCCGGCAGTCCCAGATCTCCCCTGTGGACGACGATTTTCGGCGAGTTGAATAGCGGAATATCATGGCGGACGGCAAGACAGTGTATCTTTTGAACAACTCCGTCCTCAAGGAGACGCGTTAGGATCGCCTGTCCTAGGAAGCCGGTTGACCCCGTAAGAACAACGACTTCGGGGTTGGTGAAGAACCGCTTATTTACTGGCACATGCAGCAAAGATTCTGAGATGGCAGTCTCATTGTCCCAGTTGCAATCCAGCTCACCACTTTGTTCTAGCACAACTTTATCGCCGCCACTACTGGAAAGACTATCGACGAGAACTGCCATGCTTCCCAGAGTACTAGCATCGAAAAGCTGGAAAAGCGAGACCGTCACGCTGAAAGCATCTTGAATATCCGCTCGCAGACTGATGAGAATCATCGAGCTGCCACCCACATGGAAGAAATCGGACGTGGTGCTAATTTGATGTTGGGCCGTAATCTCCGCAGGGAGGACACCCTCCCATAATTGCTTTAGCCGCAACTCGGTGCGACTCAAAGTCTCGCCACCAGAACTCTGATGTTCCGATGCATTCACTCGGCCTGTTTCGGGAAGTGGGATAGACTTGAGCGCAGATCGGTCAATCTTGCCGGAAGCGTTGGTAGGCATCGTGTCCAAGCGAACCAGTGCCGCCGGCTGCATATACTGCGGCAAGGGGAGCTGGTGGACGATCTGATTGAGATGTTCTATGTTTGCGGCCGAGGCAGTGGTGGCAAAGGCAACCAAGTATTCGGCTGTTGCAGTTTCAGACTGCCGGATGCCCACAGCACAATCAATGATGCTCCCCTTGGCGGCGTGGATAATGGCCGACTCAATCTCTCGTAAATCGATCCGAAGCCCCCGGAGCTTGACCTGGGTGTCGTCGGTGATGCGTCCCTCGAGCAACAGGCGGCCATCGACCCTGCTGATGCGACCAAAGTCGCGCGTCCGATGGAGCCGCGTCCAACCAAGTTTGCGAAACTCGGGAGAAGCGAAGCTATCTTGCGCAAAACCTCGTGCGTCCGTCTCAGCGTGCAGGTAGCCAGCGACGACGCCAGCTCCTCCGATGAGGATTTCGCCAGGGACACCAGCGGGAACAGCTTTCATGTTAGCATCTACGATATAGGTAGAGTAGTTGGGTAAGACATCGAGTCCTGTATTTGAACTTGTGCCTTCCGCCTGATAGTCCACTTCTCTGCTGTGAGAGCAGAAGGTGATCTCGGTCGGACCGTAGCAGTCCACCAGGCGCAATCCTGGCTTGTTAAGCTCCCGGAAAGCAGTTTGAAGACTGTCTCGGACAGCCTCACCGCCACTTTGGACGGTTCTCCAATTTGACTTGCGCAGCTCCTGCATGTTGCCATATCGAATCCAGCTGATGAGCTCGGAGGGCGTTGATGTCGTGGAAGTGATGTGGCAGCTTGAGATGAGTGAAGAGATAGATGCAGGATCTGCCCGAAGATGTCTTGGTACAACTTGGAGTGTACCGCCCGTTGACAGTGCTAGGAAGATTTGGCAGAGCGACATGTCAAAGTTGAATGAACTCTGCTGAAGCGTAACTTCCTGACCCTCGCGATAGCCCAGCTTCTCCGCCATGATCTCAATGTTGTTCCGGAAAGACGAGTGTTTCATCACGATTCCTTTAGGAAGTCCCGTAGAACCACTAGTATACATGAGCGCGGCGACGGAATCTGGCTTGGCCGCGTTACTAAGAGCTGTGTCGGTGGTCGTTGTCGAAACATGGTCGACGTTGAGGAGCTGGTCTTCCGCGAGCAGCGGCATGAAATGTCTCCTCGCCTCCTTGTCGGTAGAGTTGTTAACAAGCAACAAGTCTGGCTTGCTATCTTGGAGAATAGCAAATAGTCGCTCCGATCCGGACGCAGCGTCGAGTGGCACATATACTGCGTTGTGGCGCAGAATGGCCAGGAGTGAGCAGATCCAGTCTACTCCAGCATCAAGGTAGACCCCGACTCGGCTTCCATTTCCAATGTCATTCATCGATGAGGCGATGGCTCTTGTCCTTCTCGCCAGGTGCGAGTAAGTCAGCGAGTGTCCGTAGCCGTCCACGACAGCCGGCTTGCTACCATAACGCTCAACCATCGTATCAATGCGATGAACCATGGTGTCAGGCCACTGGTACTCGTGTAAGGAACCTGTTCAAATATTAGTTGATGCCTTTGGACGACGCCACCACCGTGCTTTACCCACCTTGTCCGAGTTTCAGCGAGTCCTTGACGCTTCCTGGATCGTAGAGTGATGGAGCGGCTAACCGCAGAGCTGGGTTGCGTGAAAACGCGACCAGCAAATTTTTGTACATGTCCTTCAACTCATGCACATCTCGAGGCTCAAACAGTGCCGACTGACCCGCCATGATGATGCGGCACTCTCCTCCGGGATTTTCGATAATGTCCAGGCTGAGATCGTATGGCGCCTGCCCCTGCTCGAACGATATCGCTTCGCTGCGGCAGTCACAGAAGTCTTTCCTTTCCGATACACCCGGTCGGTAGTTGACCAGGACCTGGAACAGCGGGCTGTGCGTGGTTGCGCGAGGGACACCCAGCTCGTTCACAATGACATTGAAGGGAACCCTAGAGTGAGCGAATGCAGCTATTGCCTTGCTGCGAATGAGCTTCAAAGTCTTGGCAAAGGTTTCGTTGGGTTGAGACTTGAGGACAAGAGGCAAGAGATTCAGGTACATCCCGACACTTTGCATCATGGCAGCGTCTTGTCTGTTTGCAGAGCTAATGCCAATACAGATATCCTCCACGTCCACCAGCCGGAATAACAAGGTGTAGAAGACGGCGAGGTGAAACTGAAGCAGGGTAGCCCTTGGCCCGTCACAGGCAGACTGAATGCGAGTCAGTGCCTCCTGATCCAGGCGGAATTCTGCCGTGTGACTCGAGTAGGCTGTGAGCGGCGTGCGAGACCGTATCTTGGCCAGTGGCAGGAGTGGAAGAACAGACGGCGCGCGGCCGCTAAATTCGTTCCTCCAGAATTCTATTTCATCGTTCCACTTTCCGGATTCAAACTCTCGGTGCTGCTGTTCGGAGAAGCTCAGATACTGGAGAATACTGCTCGCACTCGGGAGTCTCTTTGAGTCATACGCCAGCTGTAGCTCACGAAGGACTACTTCCAAGCTGATGCCATCCATGTTGATGTGATGATATCCAATAACAAGGCGGAAGGATTGACGAGATTTGCTGGGAAGTAGGATCCTCAGATTCTCCCCCTCTGCCAACCTGTATCTGTACTGTTGGAGGCTTTGATAGGCCTGCTCTGCGTCCACGTCGCTGGCGATATCTTGTTTCTCCAGAACAAGCGTTGGGTTAAGAAGGACTTCTTGCAAGGCCTGACTAGAGGTGTCACCAGTGACGAATCGAGTTCGAAGTGCCTCGTGGCGTTGCCCAACAAGCTTCACTGCTCGCTCAAACCGGTCAACGTCTAAGGGGCCATTGAGGTCAATCATCAACGTAATATTAAGCGCCGAGGCCGGATTCTGCAGGTACATTTCCAAGAACCAGATCCGAGACTGACCGAATCCAATCGGAGACTTCTTGCTGACAGCCACCTCGCTGTCGCCAGTGTCGATGGACCAGACCGAGCCTCGGGATCGGCCCCCAATTATGTCAATGTCCGACCATGTATTGGAGGAGGGAGTGGATTTCCCAGTGTAGGTCATATCGGGACTTGCAAAACTGACTCTCGCGCCGTTTTCACTCGACATTGACTGGCTGTCCGAGTCTTCGGAAAGTGTCATGAGTTTAGGTGAACTATTCCGCTGCACCGAGGGCAATGTGACGACTTTTGCTTTCGGGGTATCGGCTCCGCGGCTACTGACATTTTCACCGATTGTCAAATTCTTAACTTCGGGTTTTTTCACTGTTTCAACGTTGACTGAGCTCGTATCGTTTGGCTTTTTCTTCTTCGCTTCAGCCTTGTCGTTTGGATCCAGACAAGGCGTCAATTCCTTGGACAGCAGCTGTTGCGCGGTATCAAGAATATCGCCGACTGTTGCTCCACTTAGTATCTTGAGAACTGGGATCTCTACCTGAAGTTCTTTGATGAACCAAGAACGAATGTCGACAGCGAAGAGGGAGTCAATGCCCAGGGTGTCAGCTGTGAGATCTACAATAGGCCGACCTTCTTCAACTTGCAAGCTTAAGCGTAGCTTGGCAGCAAAGGCATCTGAGATGTATGTAAGTAATAAAACTCGGATCATGAAATGGAAAATAGGATTTTACCGTGGACTATTTCGCGTACTTCAGCCGCATTGACTGCTTGCTGAAGCTGCGTTTTGACTGGAATGCGCTGGTCCTTCCGGCCGTCGCCAGCCGACTCATCGTCTTCAATTTCCTTGATACAGTGCTGGAACATCGGATTATAGAACCATGTGATATTCCTCTTGAAGTCATCGCCGTTATCGATCATCATCAAGCCGGTAGAGAGCTCTGAAGACCCCCCGTTCTGGGGTTGACTCGCAAAGACCGCCTCGGCAAAGATTTGTCGGAAATCTTGCTCTGAGAGCCACAGGTTACCGACCTTTCGGAGAAACTCCTGCTGCGCCAGGGTTAACTCTCGTGTCACGTAGCCGTTGCCGAAGATGGCGCCCATATGTACTACAGATGCATTGAGACCTCTACGCCTGCGTTGAGCCGCCAGTCCCGACATGAACATGTTGGCGGCGGCGTAGGCCGACTGGCCCGGGTTGCCAGTCACGCAAGCCATGGATGAGAAGAAGACAAAGAAGTCGAGATTAATATCGTGGAATATCTCTTCTAGATAGATGCTTCCTTCGACCTTGGGCTGCGTGACTTTCTTGAATCGTTCCATGTCCAGGTCGGAGAATACAGTATCATGGAGTACCATGGCCCCTTGGGCGACACCCGCGATAGGAGGCATCGTCTGGCAGATTCGATTATAGATGAATCGGACGGATTCTCGATCGTAGATATTGCTAGAATACTTGAGATTAGCACTGCGTAGTAAATACCGAAATTGGCGGGGAACTCTGTCCCAGAGCTACGGGTTTCACTGTACGTACTTGGATATACCTTCAACTTTCATGCCTATGTTTTGCATTTTCTTCAACCAGCCCCGGTCTACCTTGGGATTCCGGCTGGAAATGACGACGTGTCGAGCTCCATGTTTAGCCATCCACTCGCAGAGTGAGAGTCCGAGACCCCCGGTCAAGCCGACAAGCCAATATGTCCTGTCGCTCCTGAATTTGATTATCATATCGATAGGTTGGACTCGAACAGTAACGGTGCTGGACTCAGGTGGCCAACGGATCACGCATAGGCGGCTGGCGACATGATTCCTGGTAGGCAGGTCGTCCAAGGAGACGAGTTCTAACTCCTGGCACCCTTGACTAGTCTCCATGACTTGCTGAGCCGGCCACAGCGAATACTTGACATCCAAAAGGATAGGTCTGATGTCTCGCTCCAGAAGGCCCGAGGTAATCCGTGGCGAAGCGGAGGTGAGGAGGGTACCGGCCCTCACTTTCGTAACCTCTGCCGGCAAGTATTCGCGCAGACTTGCAGAGAGGGTGCTGTCCGCGCCGATGTCTAGAAGCAAAATATCCGATGGAGGAATGGCTCCGATATTCAAGGCAACCCAGTTCTGGATCTCTGCTTTGGTAGCCTTGGGGTGGATGTAGTGCCATCCCAAACCGGGTTCAGCTGCTAGATAGAGGACTCTTGCCCCTTTATCTGTAGCAATGCGCTCCAGCGCGCGACTAAACATGATAGTCGGTTGCAATACAATGACAAGCGTTCCCGCCGAGATATCCTTGATGGAAGCACGGGCAAGTAGCTCTGTATAGAATAGCTGAAGGTAATCTACCGAGTTGGGTGCAGGAAGAGTAAAGGCCTGCGGAACTTTGATCCTGGATGCTTGCTTTGGGGAGAGGGCCAATATAATCTCTGCCGTGTCTCGACGTATTCCGAGAACGGGGAAGAGAAAGCTGCCTCCTGACGCCTCCACTGCCAGGCTCACTGAGTACAAGACGTCGATCTCTACAGCCGCCTTTAGTTCAGGCGCGTCTTTTCCCTCCAAGAGATACCACGATGCATCTTGTGTTTTAGGCGGGACAAGCTCGACGATGTGTTGTCGAATATCGATCTGCTTGGTGATGTCGCGACGACCCGAGCTGTACCGATTGTTCCGGCTCTTGCTCAACTTGAATCGGGGAATGTAAAATCGGCCGCCCTTGTCAAGGTACAACTCGGGTTCGACGGAATGGGTCAAAGTTGAGATTACCCCGTCATTCTCCCAGCTCCCAGCCATCTGAAAGCACAGCAAAGACTCAGCGATAGCAGTAGGGTCCGGGGAAACGGCAGTGTCGAGGTCAAGAAATTGTAAACGCAGATGCGGCATTTCTAGTACAATGGTCCTGCCGAACCCGACCACCATCCTGGAGAATGGATCTCCTGAGCGAACTCCCCGGGTAACCCAGAGGACGTTGGTGGATTGCTTGTAGACTTCTTGGAACCTACGCAACTTGTCCTGGTCCATGGACTTGAATACCGGCTCCTCTATGTCAGTAAGACAGAGTACAGTGCCTCCGACAGGAAGATCACCTGGAGTCAGAACATCCAGCGATTTCATAAGCTTGATGCTGCCACAACACGGGCCAAGGCTTTGGCGGAGATCTGTTGCCAGTGCCGCGCCGCCGATGATTGTCAACTGCGGCACTATCTTCGATGGCGTTTCTTGCTGCTGTAGAGGCTGCTTCAGGAGCTGGACCCTGTCATCCGTCGCCTGGGTCACAATCACAGAGAGAGGAACAGGCAAGTTTTCGTCATGCGGCATTGCCGTGTAAATGCCCGAGAAGCCAGTCCGCTTCAGAATTGTCGACCACTCCTCCAAACCAATGCAAGGAGACAGGGCCCGTCCGTCGTCGTAGCCGAGCCACCAGCCCTGGAGACCACCAAATAGCAGGCCAAACCTCATCTGATCGTTTTCTGTAATCTCTAGGAGTAGCAGGTATCCACCGGGCTTCAGGAGGCGGCGGACATTACGAAGGGTTTCGTCCAAGTTCCGCGTAACATGGAGGACCAAGGAGGCGATGATGACGTCGTACGATCCCTCTGTGAATCCTTGGCCTTCAATATCCTTCTCGATGTCGAGTACCTTGAAGCTCATTTTGGAGCTGTGCAACGCAAACTCATCCCTAGCCTTCTCAAAAAAGCCGCTAGAGATGTCGGTGAAGGTGTAGGTCGAGAACTTGTCGCCCAGGGCTCCGAGAAACGACTTGGTTGCGCCACCCGTGCCAGCCCCAACCTCGAGGACATGCATATGAGGGTATCTATGGCCAATTTGGCTGGTAAAAGCGGCCAAGTATGCAGTGTAGCGAGGCATACCATGTGCGATTACATAGAAGTCGTTGAGCTTGTTGTCCTGGAGCATGTGCTCCAGCATGGTAGTCTCGCCGCGGACGACGGCGGGCATGTTGTCACCCACAGCACGCATGAGCTTCAGGTCAATGTTGTCAGGATATCTGTCAAAGATTTCCAGTATGACCTCGTGCGTATCGAGCTGCCATTCCTTCTTGGCGAAGCGGTTCGCGCCGCAATCCACTTTGGAGAGGACATGGTCTACATACGCAAAAAGGCGAGTGTAGTGCCATTCGAGATTCTTACGGGCACTGCGAGGAATGGCCTTGTCCAAAGATTGTAGGTAAAAGTAGGCCACCCTCTCCAGGGAAAACAACAGTTCCGCATCGAGTTCCTGAACGTCTATCTTGTCCAGTATATCCTGACTGTCGGGTTGGGCGACACCCCATACAAGCTCAGTGAAAATGTTTAAATCATTCGACTCAGTGGGATGGAACAGGGGTTGCGTCTGGAGCCCCTCGAGTTGAATGGCCTTGTGAGCAAAGCCCTCCGGTGAATAGATGCTCACGTCCCCTGAAAGACTCCCAGAATCGCCAATTGACGCTGTCGAATCGAACAAAACTTCTGTCGCCTCACCGGCAAAGGCTCGACAGTGCTCTGGGTCAATGATGAGTCGACTGATGCTGGTAGGGAGATATATGGAGCGCATCATGCTATCTCCTGGATAACAGCACGCCAGCATGATGGACTGGATGCCGGCGTCTAACGTCGCTGGGTGGATGAGGAGGGCCATTTGAGAAGCCTGGACATTTGCCGTGTTTTGAATATACCCCATCGCCTTGCCCAGCTTTCGCTTCAGTCTCGTTAGCGCACGGAACGGGCCAGAATATCCAAATCCAAGCTGCTCGAGGACATTATAAAACCGGTCAGCCTCGATGTTCAGCATGGCATGTTCTTCATCCTCCTTGGACTTGGGCGGGAGAAGATGCGCAGCCCTGTCGCCATAAGTGACACTGACGTCACAGTTGGCGTGTCTAGTCATGTCCAGAACTTCACTGTTGGACGACGAGTAGAACGAAAACTTGGCCGAAGCTACCCTGCAGCCTTGCTCCTCCGACTCTGTGATGCTGTCTAGTACGATTAACGTCTCGACCCCCGAGTCATTATCGTTAAACACCACAGCCTGACCAAGCACGAAATTCCGCAGCTCAATGGATCGGACGCAAGCGTCGCTACGAATCTTCATGGATGCTTCCACACATGCGGACACATACCCGGCACACGGGAAGACGGTCTGCCCCTGGACTTGGTGGCCATCAAGCCAGTCTATCTCGCCGCGCTTGAGGACGTTGCGCCAACGGCGTTGGTCGGGGGAACCGTCGAGGATCTGACGCCCAAGGAGCTCATTAGGCTGGTCCTTTGCCGTCCTGAAAGCCCGGGAGAGGCGAGACTCGTGCCAGAAGGTCCGGTTGTGATCCCACGGGTAGGATGGGAGACCCTTGATGGGCACGGGTTTTTGCAAGCCCGCCTTTCTTTGTTCATCATTCATAAAGCAATTGTAGGCGGCAAAGTCGACAGCCCCTTCTCCCCAGGTTCGCCAGATATATCCAAGTCCTTTTGAGAATGACTCAACACCGTCCTCGCCGCGTGACAACATGCTTGTGTAAGGGATAGACTCTCCTCCCAGGCATTCCTGAACTGTCTGGCTTACAGGGCCCCTGAGCGCCGGATGTGGTCCAATCTCAATAGCTAGGTCGTAAACCTCTCTTTCCTGACCGCCGCCAAGAAGGACTTGCAAGGCCTCTGAAAACATGACTGGCTTCGTCAGGTTTTGGGCCCAATATTTTCCTTTCAGACTCTCTTCTGAAGCAATATCCGTTATGTCGCAGGTGAAAACGCTGGAAACCCATCGGCACTTGCTGCGGTCGGCCGGGCAAAGCTGTTGAATAGCACACCGCTGCAGAGACGTCACATACGGCTTGGAACATGCTTTCATGTGGTGGGAATGATAGGCTCGATCCACTTTGAGGTGGCGAGTGAATTTCTTCTCCTCGTCCAGAATCATCTTGATGTTGTCAATGGCCTCTGCATCGCCGGAAAGTGTCACGCTGGCAGGAGAGTTACTCGCCGCTACGCAGACACGACCCTCAAAGGCTGGAAGCTCGCACAATTCCTTGGCGTCTTCGTACGAGGTTCCCACCGCGAGCATGGCGCCGTCCTGAGTGACCGACTTCATATGCAGACCGCGATAATATGCCACGCGGATGGCATCCTCGGAGGAGAGATATCCCGCCGCATATGCTGCGCAAATCTCGCCGGAAGAGTGGCCGACCACTGCGGAGAAGTCGATGCCGGCGGCTCTCAGCATGTCGACGAGAATGATTTGCACGGCTGTGCAGACGGGCTGCGACACAGATGCTGTGCCTACCGATGAATCGGCACCGGCGAGGAGCTGCTCACGCAGTGACCATGTCGGTCGATCCCGACGGTCGAGTGACTGCAGGCTCTTGTCGAGACGGGCGAGGATGCTGCTTGCTGCTGGTGACTTTTCAACCAACTCGGCGCCCATGCGTGGCCACTGTGCGCCCTGGCCGGTAAAGATGGCGAGAATACGTGGTTTGCGCCCTCTTGTCCTGACTGACGAGTAGTTTGATGGCTCGCTAGTGAACTCGGTGCCCTTTTCAAGCTTTCCGGCTAATTCCTCAACGTCACTGCTGGCTGTTATGACGGCGCGCCATGGGAGTGTCGATCGACGGTTGCTGAGTGTCCATGATAAATCTCCGAGTCTGACTGTAGCGCCAGAGTTTCCAGGAGCAAGATAGTCTCGATAGCGCTCCAAGGTTTCAGTAAGCGCACTCTCCGATGCCGCCGAGAATAGAAATGGCGTAAAGCATGAGCTACCGCAATCCGACGACTGTCCGCGGCGTGTCTCATCGGGCTCAAAGCTTTCAAGAATGGCGTGACAGTTGGCGCCTCCGAAGCCAAAGCTGTTGACGCTCACTCTTCGCACGCCACCCTTTGCAAGCTTGGGCCATTTTCGTGCTGCGGAAAGAATCTGTACGTTTCCGTAGAAAGGCTCAACTTTCGGGTTCACCTTATTCAGTAGCATGTTTGGAGGAATAACACCAGCCCGCAAGGCCAGCAATGATTTGATAACGGCGGCCAGGCCTGCTGTCCCTTCTGTATGGCCAACCACAGTCTTGATAGATCCAACAAACAAAGTATCATCTGCATCACTTGGCTTAAAATGGGACTGGGGGCCAAAGAAGGCATTACTGATCGCCTCGGCTTCCACGGGATCACCAGCAGGAGTACCTTGGTAGATTAGCTGAGGCGATCGTGATTGCCGGGGAGAAGCGGATGGGGAAGCTTCTTGAATTCACACATACCTGTGCCATGTGCCTCAAAGTACTGGGGGCGATCGGCACGCTGGCCAAGGTCCAAGCCGGCCTTGGCGTACGTGGCTCGGATCAACGCTTCTTGTGCAGTAGCGCTTGGCATCGTGATGCCTGGCGTCCTACCATCTTGGTTGAGACCAGTCTCACGTATAACGCACTCGATGTGGTCGCCGTCAACAATAGCCTGGCTAAGCGTCTTGAGAACAATGGCTGCAACGCCTTCTCCTCGAGCGTAGCCGTCCGCATCGGCATCCCACATACGGCTTCGGCCAGTAGGAGAAAGCATTTGTAGTTTGCTCTCGGCAATGTATTGCTCTGGTCCTAATATCAAGTTGGACCCGGCCACCTGTACCATGTTGTTAGCATCTCGTGCGACGCGTCCAGCTCTATTCTCAGGATGGAGATGTAGTGATGACCAGTAGACGGGAATATGCACTTACAACCGCAACAGATGATTCCCCTCCGCGGAGAGTCTGCACAGCCTGGTGCATGGCGATGAGACTTGATGAACACGCCGTATCGATAGTCATGGACGGGCCATGCCAGTCGAAGAAATACGAAAGCCTGTTACTGAGAATGCTTCTTGCCGTCCCTGTAGCAAAAGATGTTCGGAACATCTCCGTGTCGCGCCCAATCATGTCAGTAAAATCGGCACTCATGACGCCCACGTATACAGCAGTATCAGAGCCTTGCAGCCCCTTGACGGAGAGGCCGGCGGCTTCCAGGCTCTCATACACGGTTTCAAGAAGCAGTCGCTGCTGAGGATCAATAGAGTGGGCTTCGACAAGGTTGATGCCGAAGAACTGGGCATCAAAGCTCCGCAGGTCCTCTTCCAGGAGATATGAGTGGCGCACATTGCTCGTGCCATGGTGAAAATTCTTAGGATGGTAGAAGGCACCTGTGCTGAATCGACTGTCGGGGATTTCCTTGAGAAGATCCCGGGGCTTTTGCAAGAGATCCCACAACTTGGATGGATTATCACACTGACCGGGGAATCGGCATCCAATGCCAATAATGGCGATGGGCTCGCCAACAGTCGCCATGTTGATCAAGCTATCTTGCACTGGATAGATGGTCCAGTCTAGAAGCAGCGAGACGGGTGTCTCTTATTTCTGTTTGATCTATCAGATACCTCTACATATAACTAAAAAGCAGCGAGCCACTCAGACGATGTCAGGTCGGGGCATTTGCTTTGCACGTAAAACTGAGCTGCATGGATGTGGATCACGGCTCTACCTGGGGGATGTTTCCAGTCTCCCATCACAGGAGTAAGTAGGTATGGAAATCCATTCACACACGACTGTACATCTCGGCCAACGATTTCCGACCCTTCGGTATAGGTATCGCAATTTGAATATCGGAGATGGTGTCTAGTTATCGTCCTTGCAGCTTCTTTGCATCTTGTGCATCGGGGACCCGCTCGGGGACGGTTGGAAAATCGACTCCGGAACGCTATTGCCTACGAGCGAGAATAAATGGGGACTCGGGGTTTGATTCAACATTCGGACAAAGCCAAGTGACCAGACGCTAGGCGGTACACTGAGCCTTTCATCACGCCCCCTTGCGAATTCAGATTTGGCTTTGACTTGGTCCATATTGAAGCTCCGGCTCTCCGAAATACGTCAACCATCCAAACGCACTTGGCAATATACCGCTGTGATCCATACTCGGAGCGAATTCATCTGACTTACTCCAGTTGACCTCCTGGACGATGTTGGGCGAGTTCACGAATCACTTGGCACGTCAGTTGGGCACTTCTGCTCCCGTAGACAAGAATCACTTACAGGGAGAACCAAATTCACTTGTAGGAGCTCGTTGATGCGACTTGATAATGTGTTGTGCCGAACATGAAGTTTGTATTTCCAAGTCACACGCATGGGGTTTTTCACTGGATTTATGCCGGGAAGTAAAATTTCCTCGGAGATGATGAAAAAAAAGTTCATTGCATTCTACTTTAGATTTAGTCCCTAGCTGATCTATGCCATAATTTGGCACAAAAACACCCGCCCGGCACTACTTTAATAGACTTTTGTTATTCCATCGGCTGGCTGCATGGTAACGATAGTAACGAACGAGGCAGGCTGCTTCGGGCTGCGGCGAAATCATGCCTGACTGAAATACCCCACGTAGGTCAAATAGCCTTTCTCCTGTTGCTCGTATGCATCATTTCCGTATTCTTTGATATAGTGCGCCCTAAGATCTGGACCTAATGCGTGCGATGGCCGCATCATCAGGTTTCCAAGATCCATTCGAAAGGGGTGTATGCTTGAGTGGCAAACATTCTGGCTTAATCTCAATGTCATAGTTCTGAAGAAAATGCGCCAGCGCAATCTTGAGTGTATTCGTCGCAAAAAACCGTCCCGGGCAAGCCTGTGTCCCGTCACCCCATCCCGGCGAGTCGGAGCCGGTAGTCAGAAAATGGAAGCGGTTTTTCTTCCCTGGCTTCTGCCGAAGCTTATAAAATCTATCCATGTCGAAACTATCTGGGTTTGGCCACAAATCCGGGTTGCGGTTGATAGCTTGTCCGTCAACAGCAACGATCAAGCCAGCGGGAAGCGTTGGCCCAATAGAGAGTTTCACTGGCTTTTCAAGGTGGCGTTGGAGGGTGACTGGAAGGCAAAGTCAGCATAGGGCCGTCGGGGAAGGGAATGGGCGCCTTTGGCAGGCCTGGCCCAACGGCCGAAGACGACTTACACATGACAATTGGATGTAGTCGGAAGGACTCACGGAGGAAACTGTCCATTTTCCTCAGCTCCTGGAGATGGGTCCCGGGGAGGTTTCCGTCGACAAGAACCTCATCTAGTTCCTGGCGCAGGATGTCGGCAGCTTCGGGGTGCAATGCCAACTCACAGAGAACGTGGAACAGCGCCGATGCAGTGGACGGGGTTGAGTCGAAGCTGATGATGATGTAGTCAGCCACCAGCTGTTTAATGGTTGCTTCAGCAGCCTGGTAGCGTGAGAGGAGGAATCCGGTGAAGGGTATCTTTCCTTCGGCCCGGGGCCGCAGGATCTCCTTTTTGTCCTTGGCTTCGTAGTAATCCTTCATGTCTGTCTTTAGAACTGGGGTCAGAAGGCGCGCCATATCCCACCTGTTCTTGATGGTAGGGAAGAAGCAAATCGGCGCCATGAGCGGCCGCAGAATAAGGGGGCAGGCGTTGAGGAGCGTGACAGCAACGTGAATGAAGATGGGCGACATCATGACGGCCCGCACCCAGCTTCGGTTCGTGCCCAATTCTCTTCCAACGAAGGAACACGCATTTATCCGGGTGACAATTTCGAATGTAGTCATCATCAGAGGGAATTCTTTCCACTGGCGTGAGCGCCCGATTACGTCGTCAAAGGCCATCTGGCAGTCTTGTTGGCGCGTGAGGACTCGGGCAGGAAGCGAACGAGTCAGATCGGCAATGACGGATTTGATGAGTTGCGGTGTCTCTGTACCAATGTGACTCCAGTGGCCATAGTTTGTAGCGTGAAAAAAACCCTTGGCGGACGCGGTGTGCTCCGGAAGACGCTTGATCTCGTCGAAGCATTGGGGAGGGAATATGACAAAACTGTGCCGGTTGTTGACAGCGAGGAAGGGTTGACCTGGGTACTGCCATCTGTCAAAATCGGAGCCTACAAGTTCTTTTCGGCAGGCAGAAGGGTAGACGATAATCATGACATATCAATGGGTCAAGTCTAGATTCAAGTCTGCACATACCAGCTCCCGTCCCTCCTTGATAATATCAAGGTAATGCGCATGGTTCCTCCTCACGACGGCAAGCCCAGGAGGCGCGTGCACACCCTTGTTGCTGTTTCGAAGGCGCACGGCAATGATTATCAGCAGTGCTGCGAAGAGGTAAAGTAGGAGAAATACGCTTCCGTCTGGCAACCCGTCAAGCGCACTTCTGACCATGAGCTTTGTAAACTGCCATCGGGACAGTTTCAGAGGCGCAACACTCTGGCGCAGCACCAGAAACGGCTCGACAATTTTTGTCTGAATGCTCGACAACATGCTGTGGTGCGGAGTATGGGCGGCAGTTGGGTCAAGTCAGAGTCAGACGGTCTGGTGTCTTAGACCTGGGGTGCTATACGACAGATTTGTTCGAAAGACGCCTGCCAGGAGCATTGGGGTTTCGCCATGGCCGCACTCGCCTAGGGCAGCCTGAAGTTATGAAGTGAAATCCGTGCATGCCCACGTAGCATCCAGGGTGCTTAAGCGCACTTGACGCCGAGTCCGAAGGCCGATGTTGCATGGTTACACAAGTGACAACAGCGTCATCTGTCTGGTGGTATTCAATGTTTGGAAAGATGCTCCCCGTCCCACTTCAGGCGCCCACCATCTCCCGCCCGCTCCAGGCTCCCGTCATTTCCCAGCGGAGGAGAAGAAGAAAAGAGGCCAAGTTGCCGTCGCCATTCCAGTCCCAGATGTCGAGGTTGAAAACGGCGGCGCAAGTAGGACATCTGGAGCTCCCAAGTTCCCTCAGCACCGCCAGACCAACCAGACATATACAAACTTGACATTGAACCCAACAACAACCCTAGGTTGGTACCGAAGCATCACTGATGCCAGCGTGCTGCCATCGGAAGCCGTGGATGGCTGAGTCTCCGAACCGATGCTACAGAATCCTCAACGGCTACACTGCCACCCGGCCAGCCCTGTCAACTTCAATCTTGTCACATGTCTGGTACAACATTTAACATGAAGCGATTTCTTGCAGCCTTGGCTGATTTGTGGGGCATGTCATCCCCAAAACCAAAACTTGAGGTCAGACACGACTTTGGTGGCGAAGCCCAGTTCTATCTAGCCTTAAACACGGGCGGGATTAGGGCGGCCATGATGCGTGCCTCAAGGGATGCGTTTTGTATGGAATGCATGCCGATTCATACCAGTTGCCGGCCTTGTCCCTCCCTCCCCTGCTCCCATTTCGCTCAATCACCCCATGTCCTCTGAGTCCTCTCCTTTGAACAGTCTGCCCAACCGCCGAGGAAGAAACTTCTACTCCTCTTGAAGCTCCATCAAGCAGTCTGCACAACTCAACCAACCGCCACGCAAGCAATATCCGTGGCATCATGAGCAGCAGCAGCCAGCGAGAATTGGTATTCTCTGAGGGCCACAAGGACCACGAGGACCACAGGCCCAGTGGCACCGTACAAGATGGACACGACATCAAGCCTCCTGCCGACATGATGCTATGCGAAGGAGGATACGACAGAACGAGATCGGGGCTGGCAAGACGGGACGCGGTAGCGTCTGGTATAGTTAAATTATTCTAAATACGGCCCGGCGGCTCGAGACCGTCAGTCGCGTTTGTAGGATCAGGCCCTTGAAAAGTACAATAATACCAACTTAAATACTTGTTATGATTTTACGCTTGCACGTCAATGCACGTAATGTTATATTAACTACAGAGCGACACAATACCCAGTTAAAATACTTGTTATAATACTATACTACCTACTAGTCAGCAGCATAACAGTAGCTGTTGCTTGAATAAGCGACCAGACTTGACCTTGGCAACTAGCAGTGAATTCCCTGGTGAATCAACTTGTTGCCGGGTCCTAGTCCTGCGCATATTTCTCAGGCTCGACAGCACCGGCCTTAGTATTAGGGCAGGCCTCTGGCCTTCTTGCCATCGGCCTTCTTGCCATCGGTCTTGCATTTAATGCCCTCGGCCTTCATTGTATCAGCCCTGGGTGAACACGAAATCTCAGCACGTGCCTCAGAGGATCCACCCGCAGCTATTGTCTTAGTAATGCATTCAACAAGTTGCTCGGCTGTACCATCCTGTCGGCACTCGCCCGCTAATTCCAGACACCTTTTGTTCGATACCCTATAGCCAAGCCCATCAACATCAATCATAGGATAACTTTCGTGTGGATTTGTACCAGGGCAGACCTTTGTTGCCAGGCTCTGCTCCGGTGATGCAGGTGGTGCGGCGATTGAGGCACCAGCCAAAGTAGCGAGGGCGAGGGCAAGATGGTACTGCATTGTTATGGTAGTAGTTTTTTTATGCTGAGAATTTGGAGAATAAGAAGATGAAATAAAAAGTAAGGATTGAGCAGGTTAAGAATGGTTGTTCAACGGCTTTTTTTAAGAAGTTACTAAGTTTTTGGGAGTGCGTTTAAACTTGTAGTAGATGAAAGGCTTCTTATTTATAGAATGTATTACTCTGTCTATATCGGTTTTGCCAGGGGAACATGTATATTTACGTAACACAAGCAGAGTCTAATGCGGGTGTGCATGACTGTACATGACTAGCATTATGCTTGGATTTAAGATTAAAGGCTAGCTACTCCGTGGTCCGACTATGCGGGTATGCATGACTTAAGATTAAAGGCTAGCTACTCTGTGGTCTAACTATTATTTATGCTCCTGGCTCGTAATATAGATATCTATTTTCCGTCTGTGGCCGCCAGCCACTTAGGTCCCCCTATACAGGGCACGAGACATGCTAGGCTAATACTAAATTTACTCTATATAACTACGTAAATAAAATATTATTTGATAAGGTAATAGCTTAAAGATACTTACAGTCTACTCTATTATAATTAGCGGGTTGTGCAGGTGATAGTATCTATCTACTAGACCAGCTTAGTCTATAGTGCAGGCTGTAGTAGTAGCCAGAAGAGGCGTGCGCGGACAAAAAATGTTAAGACCACGTTGACCTTATGCGTGTCGTCGCCAGAGGAGAAGAAATAAAGGAAACGGAGCACGACATTCCTGTAATCAATGATCTCATCTACTCGTACCACGCCCCCACCTTTTTAGTTTTGTCTTCGCCTGCACCCTTAAGGGTGATGACTAGCCACCTACTAATCGAGCCATTCAGCAGTTTCTGGAGTGTTGGAAGTCAGCCACTGAATCCGTGGCAGTACTGCATTTGTGGATGATAGACTAACCTTTGACTTGGGCCAGCGTAAGGGATCATTATCGTCTATCTGCGGTAACGAGTCACGTTTAGTGATGCCATGACGCGCGGCGCGATATTGGCGACTCTCTTCGCTCAGCTCAGCATGACATTCATTCTAAAGATGTGCTTAGTTTTCAACAGGAACGTTGAGGTTTACTGAATGTCTAGCGATCAATGATATGCGCGAACCTCAATCTCCTCACAGTCCGTTTCCAACTTGGTCATTCTAGCTGCCATTTATACAGCTTATCAGGGGATTCGTGGATCAAGTCGGCAAAACGAACACTGTATATAGGAATGTGTATGGTTGATGGAATACTCGCCGCTCCTTAGCATAAGCTAGGCAATATATGAATAATGAAAGGGCACATGCAACTATTCGTCAGCGACTAAGTGGCTCGTCTAGGATACTCCTGCTTTTGTAGATGCTAATAGCAACGGCAACCATTCTCGGCAATAACCACAGCGAGCCACAATACGCGGCTGGTCAATTGACCAATCGGATACTGTTTGGCCGCTAGGAACTTCCCCACATGCGGGGATATCTCAAACCAGACATATCTTGTTTTGGGCGCGTGGCTATGACTATAAGGCTGCGATAACTCGCTGATAGAGATAGTCTTGAAGCATTTAATCAGTTTTGCATTGTGTATCGAGTCTCTCGGAAGCCGCTGATTGGACTGGTGACTTCGACGTGACCTAGGACCTCATCCCTCAGCTTTCCCCCAACTGCCGAAAAGCGGAGCGTTTCAGCAGGTGTAGGGTCCAGGTAAATCCTTGTAGGCTTTACATGATGAATTTTGAGCCATGCAATTTACTGACCTCAGATTAGTGTCCGGGCGGTCCGGTGGCGTCATGCAGGGAACCGGAAGCCAGTCACTACCACGGAGGAGGACCTTCCTTGCTTGTGACGCCTGCAAGTTTAAAAAGTTGAGAGTAAGGGACAAGGCTCATATTTCGTGGAATCTTTGAGCTGATGTGGTCACCAGTGTGATGGCGATCGACCAAAATGTGGACGGTGTATGAAGGTAGATGTGGATTGCGTTTATACATTGAATGATCGTGATAAGCGCATGGCGCAGCGGTGAGTTGTTGATGACAAATCTGCTGCAGTGCAATTTTGGCCTTTCGCATTCCTCATCAAGACAGATAAGCTTACACGTCTATAGAAACAGTTGGATAGCTCAGCAATATCTGAATCAGCCTAGCCGAGCAGATGCCTCGGCTCCCACAGCACCGCGGACATCATCCAGTCCCGTAGTGATAGATGGTGATGCTCAATATACGCCCAGTACCATCAATTCTGAACATATCCCACAGCCGTTGCTGCGACAGCCAGCTTGTGATATGAAACCAAATCATACCTCACCTTCCGATCCACCGCTGAGCGAATCTCTTGCCGATATTCTTGCCACAAATGCATTCGACCAATTATCAAATGGTGAAGTAGGCTATTTTGGTAAGAACGGAGGCCTCCATTGTACAAGTATGATCCTACTCATCAGCCTAACCTCCTCGGCAGGATCAAGCACCAATCACGGCTTCTTCTGGTGTCTATCTGGCGCCATTGCCAATCTAGGCTACAAGGCATCTCGCAGCCAGGCGCAACGAGCGTCTCCTACATCTGACATGAGGGGTAGCCGAAGCAGGGGTTTAAGGAAGTCATTAACGCATACAACTCTTCATGAAAGCATTCAGAAGTACCCGTCGAATGAGGAGCTCGTGGCTCGGTTCTTTGACAACATCGGCGATGTTCTCCCCTATGTCGACGAAGTTAGCATTATGGGCAAATTGCATGTTTTGGACGAGGACGCAAATGAATCATGCCCGTCCACACAGTCCTGGCAAGCGTTACTGAATATCGTCTTGGCCTATGCGCTCTATACAATTGATGGCCCCTCGCCTGAACCTTTCTACCGGCGCGTTATCAATCTTCTTTACGGAATGGCTATACATTTATCGACCGTCCAAACATGTAAGTATCTGATGAAGATGTAAACTATATACGATCCCGTAAACTGATACCTTTGTCCAGTGCAGGCACTATTGTTGTTGACTAGCTTTGAGCAAAACATTAGACGCTCGATGGCAAGCCTTTCATCCCATTCACTAGCTGTCAGAACTGCATATCATCTGGGACTACATGCGCCGCCCACGTACGTATGTCTTGGAGCCGACGAGCAGAGACTTCGTGCGAGGCTTTGGTTGGCAGCTGTCACTCAAGATAGGTGAAGGCGAAGTCAATTCCTTTATGCGGCAGTGTCCAGATTATAGTCATTCTAACTCTATTTCATTCACAGAATTCTGAGTGCGTGCTTTGGTCGTCCATGTCTTATCGGTTTGAACTACGTCCGCCCAGAAATTGCGAAAATAGTCTCTATTAGCGAAATCTCAGAAGTTGAAACAAGGACACTGGCTATCAACAACACAGCTTCATTCTTTGCCTTGCTAACGTAGGATCTCATTCACTCAGTGTGTATAAAAGCTTCGCATTTCCGCTAACTCGAATTTTGTTTTAAAAGATCACTACATGAATTGACAGGTCTGGCTTTGGACAAAATATACCTGTCGAACATCGGATCGGTCAGGGAGCTACCCACTGATCAACTCCTCTCTGAAGTCCTGAATCTCTCCATAAGGTTGGACAACTGGGTAACCTGTAATAAAATTTTCGGCATCATGAATGCAGAAGTAGGTTTCGGCAACTGGGTTGCTCCTTCAGAAGACGCCGAAAGACTTGCAATCATCCTTTCGCTACACTACCACCGCGTCGTTCTCCTCGTACACGGGGCAATTTTGATGCGAAGCCTAGAATGTCTTACAACTGTAGGGCCACAGTTCCTGTCAGGGGTAACCGGTGAAACGATTGTGGCCATGTTACGAAGAAACCTGGTAGCAGCGCGAGATACCCACTACGTGATTTGTGAAGTCTTGCAGAAAAGACTGGGATTCTTGGAGACCAATGCTCTATGGTGGATTTGCAATTATTCTGGTGTGTTTTTGATAGCTTGCGTTTTTATGTATCCGGTTTGCAGACTTGTTGCTTCCCAAAGTATCATGTTCTAATCGCGATTTCCTAGCATTTACAACATGTTTGCACTCCTTTGGTCTATGGGTTTTATCCATCCACATTTCAGACACTAGGGTTAGTAGTATTGGAACCCAAGAGCCTGATCTTGAGATCTTGTTGCAAGCGGCTTTACGGAACCTGAGGACACTGGGCGGCATGAGCATGTTGAGCTCAAAAGCCTACCAACGGCTTCAAGGTTTGTTTGATTTGCTTCGGGATAAGGGTATGAATGTTCAGCATGTCGAATAAACATGTTCGATATAATTATACGTCGTTAACACTAGGTCAGATTCCGCAAGCAAGAATGTCTTGCCTCGAGAGTCAAGAGACGAGGTTAGGAACGAACCATTACCAACCCAAGACTCGTTATGGGCTGGACGGCAGCCCGAAACCGTGCAATCCATGGCAGCAAGTCATACGCTACTTAGCCTAGACGAGTACGGACCGGACAGCTCATTTGGGTTCCTTAGGCATCAGGACGCTTTTGGCTTTGGCATTGGTGATGCGGATTACGATGACTTTGGCTCCATTATTGAAGGTCCATCCGGAGCTGAAATCCTGGATGCACATTTACCTCACATGTCATTTTAATCTAGCTCAAACTCTGATACAATCGACAAAATTGATCCGCAGCCTCCTGCATACAGTCATGCGAGTAAATGTATTCCTGAACATCAGAAGATGCCCACTTATCGGGAAGATGATGCCCACCGGCGTTGGCGTTAGCAAACCGCCTGTCTCGTTCCTCCTTTGCTTTCCCTTGACCCAAATGCAAAATACGGCCCGACTCAGCAGCCCACCGCACAAGTGTAGAGGCCCGTTCCTTACGTATCAGTTCGTAAACACGTAGCGACTTGTTGAGGGAAGGCAAATCACTGCCTGGGCACTTGGCCAAAACCTCAGCCAACACGGCAGCATCCTCAACAGCTTGCGCGGCTCCTTGATTCAGATGTGGCAGAGTGGGATGGCATGCATCCCCTACTAGAGCCACGGATCCATGGACCCATGTTGGTAGAGGTTTTTGAACACGCAACTTCCATTCACAAACTTGGCCATCAGGAACCAAATCGAGCATCCGCTGTATAAGCGGGCAGAAATCTGCAAAGACGCTGAGCATTGTGTCCTTTAATCCCTTTGTCATGTATGTCATGGATGGTTCCGAGGCAAAGTTGGTGTCTGGCTGGATTGACGACATGTTGTACATGGTTCTTGACTGGATAGGATACGCAATCCAGTGCCTTTTCTCACCGATCCACCTGGTAACCTGGTTACTATCCAGTAGTGCCATCATTTCCGGATCGTCTTGCATCTTTTCTCGTGGTAAAAGTACTCGATACGCTGCCTGGCCGGTGTCTTCTACTTCCGAGGCGTGGTTGATTTGGTTGAGCAGAGCAACGCGGGTGATGGACTTGACTCCATCCGCTGCAAGCAGGGTGTCGGCAATAATGCGTTGTTCCACGCCTTCCCGTGTCTTGACGACGAATTCGACTTTTGGCTGGAAAGAGGTGATTGCAGTGACAGCACAACCAAAGTGAAATTTGATGGCGGGCATTTTTCTGCATCCCTGGTATAGACCTCCGACTAGAGACGCTCGATGGCCAGTGCAATGAGGATGTCCATATTTCTTTCGGATGTCAGGCATGCGGACATGGGCGAGTTCTGTATCCGTTGCACCATCTGAATAAAGCGTCGGCATCCTTGTGTATGTCTATGGGCGCAGATGGAATATTATGACTCACCTCTTATACTTGTCTCGAGCACATCGGTAGCCTTCGCCTCGACTGAATCCCAACAGTCCAGTCTACTTAGAATGCGTACTAGATTGGGCGCCAGCTGGATACCAGCGCCCATAAATCCCAAGTTGGATGCATTTTCGTAGATATGTATATCTTTGAATCCCTTCTTTGCGAGTGCTAATGCGCTTGCTAGGCCACCTATGCCTGAAAAAAGAAGGAAAGAAAAAATGACATTGTTAGGTCGATCGGTCTCAAACGATTACTGATATGGAGATGACATACCTGCTCCAACAATAGCAAATCGTAGGTCAAAGATATCGCTTTGCTGCTCGTCGATCAATTTGGAGCCCATTTTGTTGGAACGCCAAAGTCAAGGTGAAGCAAGATGTGAAAGGTCGAAAAAGAACTATAAGAGCAAAGGTTTCTGGTGCTGCTACATGAAGATTCAAGATGCGTCTCTTATGCTTCTCAGGATGAAAGCTTCGCAAGTAACTACGGCAAAGGGATACGCAGAAGATAAAATACAACTCAGTCCCGAGAGCAATTCCCGAGCACTTTAACCTTACCTCTGTGCTCGGATAGTTCCTTAGATTTGCTAGTTCCTTTTGGTCATTTACACGCCGCCAGGTGTTGCCGATGGGCCTCGGTTGTCTTGTATTCCGAGCCAATGAGACAAAGGTTGGCCGGTACTCCACCACTCAGAAAGAATATTGTGAGGGTCCGTATGGCGTGCTTTACAAGGTCGGATAAATGTTTAAAATGCTCCAATTTATTAGTACTATGTATTGTATTTGTGGAAAGTGTTGACTTGGTACAAGTCATGTGCTAAGCATGGCACGGTCCGTGACACTCGTTATATATATGTATGTGAGCTGTCGGCCAGAGTTTAATAGAAGCAAGGTTCCATCACAGCAGATACGACTCATTTCTTACCAACTTGAGAAATTAAGACATTATGGCTATTTATACGCCAGGACCATTCCGACTTGTGACCGTCAATAATGCACCCGAGAGGGCCAAGTATGTTATTGGAAGGGTGATTGATGGTCTGAAAGATCGATATGAGATTGAATATGTTGGGAACTGTGACGGTATTGACAAAATTGGAATCAATGACTTTGATTCAGTGGCTCTGGTACGAGGCGATATTGTGCTAATGAGAGTTCAGGCCCGCATGAAGTCGAGACCAAAGTCATGAGTTTGCAACCTGATATACTGGTGAATTTGGGCTTCAAACATGGCATTTGACATTTGGTTACTGACTCTGAGAATAGTGCTGTGCCTCTATGTGGACTGCTGAGGAGAGCGAGGGCATGATTGAGACGGCAAGAGGAATCAGGCCCAACATCAAGACACATGCTATTCCATACGGTCTGCAGGTGGCAAAAGGGCCTGAAGCGATAGTTGAGCACTTGAAGGATCAAATTCCTCGATTATTGGGATAGCTTCTTGTGTGGTGGAGAAGCTGTATTGCATTGCAATTAGCGAGTCATAGTAAAGAGACTACTGCATTGGAATAGAGATTCCCTGCTTATACTGGACAGCAGAGCAATTTTCTGTTATCGTAAAGGTACGCACTTTAGAAGGCTACAAAGTAGCCAATTGGATTGTGGCTATTATAACCCTATACTTGAACAACGAAGAATATAATTTGCACAAATTGCCTTAGTGACCAACCTAGCTACATCTCATTCTGGAACACGTTCACCAAGGTACCTATGTGAGGCATAATTTCCACCCAAAACTCATCGCCGTGAGCCAGGGTTACCTTCGGGTTTCGACTAACACCAACTCCTGCCGGAGTACCAGTTATAATAACCGTACCGACAGGGAGTGTAGTACCCTGGGACAAGAAGCTAATAAGCTCCGCTACACTGAAAATAAGGTCGCTAGAGCACGTATATATGTCAGTTATTAGACCATGTATATTCTTCTATGAAAGCGTACTCACTCTATGCCACAATCTTGCAGTAATTCCTGATTCTTCACACCGCGCAGTCGAAGAGTACAAGGATCTGAAATGACAGACGGCGACACTAGCGCTGGACCTGTATACCCGTCAGAATATAAGATCAAACGGAACGGGTTGTGTTGTAACTAACCCAAGGGGCATGAGCCATCGAAGCTTTTGGAAAATGACCACTGGGACTGTGCGAATTGGCTCGCTCTACTAGAAACATCGTTGCAAGCCGTGTATCCAAGAACATAGTTCATCGCGTCGTCCTTGGAAACGTTTTTGGCAGTTTTGCCAATGACAACAGCAAGCTCAGCCTCATAGTCTCCGCAATCATCTATTTGAGTAATCTTTGGTAACATGGTCGGAGTTGGCCACGGGTCACCTATCGCCGTGCAGGGTTTCCTATATGGTATTAGATAGGGCTCTATCCTCGGCAATTATACATATAGGGCGTTTTGAATGTACATGAAAACAGTGGGAACTGTTGGAATCTGAAGATGAACTTCTTCTGCATGCTGCTTGTACTGTGAAAAGTCATGGAGAGTTAGCTCTTCTTTCTGGGCACCTTTGCTAATGGTCTACCAACATTGAGCCCGATGCAACGAATGGTGCCAACTTCTTCAGCTGCAAGCGGCGACTACAGTTTTTGAATCGTGTCGCGGCTCGTAGATCTTTGTCCTGGACTTAGGACAGATGACCCAGAGAAAACCTCAACCTCGACCTTCTGGCCCTTTCGAAGCGCGGCGCCAACGTCGATGCTGTCATCGATGGGTTGACCTATGAGAATCTTACTGGAATCCGAAGTAGGGACGAATCGGACAAGCCCTACTGCTATTAGAGTCGTGTGATCATTAAGATGTGAGGCAGCTTACTCTTGAAGCTGGATGATGCCATGTTCGAGACATTGTTGACGAGCTTCTGAAACATGCAAGTTGTGCGCCGCACATGCACAGATTGTTATCACCCAATCACAATTATATGCAGTCTAATGTGCTTTGTATTTGATGATTGTAGGGAAGGTCGGTGTGTGTACATGGAGACGTTAAGCTGCATGTGAATATTGGAATCTGCCAATAGGATGTCGTTGTGCCGTTCCGGACCACCATCCCATCCAGCCGCTGGATGTGGATCCATCTTCCGCTCATGGGGTTTCAACTTTCATCCGGAGTACGTAGATCGGGCATAAGTAATGACACGTTTAACGGCTCCAAGTGGTGCACGCAAATCGGACAGTTACGGGACTCTGATAGACAAGGTTTTGTACAAACACTTTGAACCGCCCAGCTGCTCACTATCGACAACTTAGTCACAATGACGATGCAATCTGACAGTTCGTTTCGAGCGCACTTGCCGGACTTGAATACGGACAGGTTTACGGCGATGAGAGAGCAAGACTGTTATCAATACGCAGTGACCTTCAAAGAGAAGAAGAACCCGCCATGGTTACATGCTCTGTATGAACATTGGCAAGGCTTGTTGTCAGAGCCGTTCAAGGGAATCACTGCCAATGGTATGTCACCACGTACACTAGCACTGTGAGACAAGACAACCTTCGTACTCACCATGTCACTCTTCGTAGGAATACTACAGCCAGATCTATTCAAGTTGGAAGACCAAGGGATTCCCATTGAGTACATTGTCCAAGCCGCGAAACTAGTCGTCTGTTTAGCAAACAAAAGGCAACGACAAACCCTTTTTTACCACATTGACTCGCCTGAGTGGCGAACATGGTCCAACCCCGAGTTTCTCATAAGCGACAAGGGTATTCGCCTAGATGATTCCGATGTTACCCTGGACCTCCGGAAAGCCATCATCAATGTACTGCTTGCAACGCTCTCCCCAGAAGGTTTCGAGAAGGCAATTGGAGCTACTCGCATCAATGGGTTTTTGGGTGACCTGGTCCAAGCACCAGGAATAATGAACGAATTTTCTTACAACTTCGTCTTGTTTGGCTCAGAACCATCCACCGCACGACCATGGGGCTTTTCTTTCTATGGACACCATTTATGCTTGAATGTTTTCTTTTACAAGCAGCAAATGGTCCTCTCGCCATGGTTTACCGGCGCAGAACCAAACATCATAGACTCTGGTCCTCATAAAGGCACGCGCATTCTGCACACAGAGGAAGCACTCGGTTTGCAACTCATGCAGAGCTTACCGCAAGATGTACAATCTCATGTACAAACATACAAACATATGAGAGATGCCTCTATGCCTTATGGGCGGTGGAACCACGACGATCAGCGTCACTTATGCGGCGCATATCGCGATAATCGCATCGTGCCGTATGAAGGCGTCCCCGTGTCGGAATTTACACAGGACCAACGAGACCTGGTCGATAAAATTTTGAATCAATATCTTTTATACCTTCCGGAAAAGGCTCGGTTAATTCGTCTGGCGCATATCAAATCTCTGTATCACGAGACGTACTTCTCTTGGATTGGTGGATTTGCGAACGAGGATGCGTTTTACTATCGGCTACAGAGTCCGGTCGTGATTATAGAGTTTGATCACCATTCTGGGGTCTTTTTAACGAATGAGGAACCTGCAAAGTTCCATATTCACACGCTGTTGAGGACACCAAACGGTGGAGATTACGGGATGGCGCTACGCCCGCTGATTCCTGGCGCGGAACAGAACTTTCAATGGAAGCAAAGATAGATGATCAAATTTAAAGGATGGTTTGGCTGGTGTATTTGGAGCGTAGAAATAATAAAAATATGGAATTATATTCTGGCACATGAACATATCCTTCACAGCCGATGGCCTATTAGCCGTTGCCACTATATCTACATGGGAACATTCCTCTGTTCCTACGCCACACCAGCTTTATGTTAAGACATAAGGCCCAAGAATAATAAATACAGTTGAATTCTATCAGTCTAGGCATTATCCTGCTAACATAAGGTGTATTTGCGAAGATTCAGCTTTATGACTTTGGGCCAAGAACCATGGTCTGGATGGCATCGTCTACCGTGTCCAGGCGCAGAAATTACTCCTCAAATAAGAGGCTTTATAAGTAGTTTTGCACCTTATAGTATTGTCGACGAACACATTTGGCGGTTTTTGCGTGCTGCCGTCCGAAAACTTAATCTCGTATCGAGTGATAAGCAGGATGAGGGCGAACTTCAAGACCACGGCCGCGAGAAATCGCCCCGGACAGGTGTGCTGACCAGCGCCAAAATTCAGATTCATGTCTGAGACGAAGGCAAAGTGAAACTGGTTTGGGTCTACTTTTTCGCGAAGACGGAGGAACCGGTATGCGTCGAATTTGTCTGGATCGGGATATTTGTTTGGATCATGATGGACGGCGTCGGCGGCAAAGTGGAACATAGTACCAGCCGGCAAGTTGAATCCGTCCTTGAACGTGTGAGACTTGACCGCGTAGCGCTGACCGGTGACTGTTGTGGAGACGCATTATTAGTGAATGTGTAGTGTGCAAGATTGTCTCAAGATTCCTACTGAAGGCCATGGGATTCATCCGTATGCTCTCCTTCATGAAGCTATCCAGCTTTCTCATCCTGGCAACTCGCTGCAGCGTCCATTCGCTGCCCGAAGTTTTAAACTCAGCCAAGGCCTCGTTGATTTCCGCCGTAATCTCCGCATGGTACTCGGGATGAGCGAGTCAGTCGAATAAGAGGGACTGCAGCATGCCAGAAGTGGTGTGGATGGACGCTAAGGTCAAAAATAACTGCTGGTCAACGACTGCCTCCAAGGAGGTGTCAGCCCGTTTTTGGCCCAATAGCCAATATATGGTGTCGTGAAACATTTCAGATCCGCTGTCGCTTCGGCCATCATTCTCATTGATAGCCTGGCGTCTTTCGTCGTATAGCGGCTTAATTAACTCCAGGGCCTTCTTTCGAATCGTCCCAAGTCGTTGCGCAGTGCCATTCTGCCATCGCGCCAGCCACCTCCAATTTGCCGTATATTTCTTTCGAATGTCCAACGAGGCGTCAAAGACAGAAAAGGTGGTTTCTACCGCAATATCTAGCCATTCAGGATCCCTGCAAAGTGACGGGCCCACGAGAATATACGACATGACGGGTGAAAGAATGTTGCATGCAAGGTCGCCCCCGGGAATCGACTGCCGACCCGGCGAAGGAATGGTCTTCTTGAGCGATGCCTCAGCCTCAGTCCAGAGCCCATTCATGACATTATCTAGAAAGTGGGGATAAGCCGTCAGTCAGTTGAAATTGTCTGAAATTGTCAAAACAAGCCGCGCATAATATAGGTGGTTATTCTCACTCAAGTTCCTATTCAGGTGAAATTTGATAGCGTGGGTGGCAGCGTTGGTCTGACGAGGGGCGTTGATATAGTTCAGGAGAAACAACTTTTCTGAAAACACCTCGAAACTGAACAGCGACTTGGGGGCGCGCTTGACTTCGTCTAGATACTTCATGGGAAGAATAACTTGGTTGCCCAACTCGCCAATCGGGTTATACATCTGGAACGGAACGCCATACTGGAGGTACTTTTCATATCCGATTCTCAAAAGGGATCGAGTGTCGTTTCTATATCGGTCTGGCGTATTATCCTTCTCAAACCGTAGTTCTGGAATGTGCGCCAGAGCCCGCTTCCTTGGGGCTGAGCCTCCCAAGCAGACGAGCGAGTAAAAAACACCGCATGATACTGCCAAAATGGCAAAAGGAATAATGGCTGCGTTCAGCATTATAATAAAATTTTTATTACGCTACGGGTTTTGGGTGCGGGATAAAAGTAGGACGGCGGTATTTAAAAGTGCGCCGTCTTGCTAGGCCCCTCGGATGACCAAATGCGACGTGCATGTTGGAATCCACCGAACACCGAAGCAATGTTCGGCAGCTGGAACCGACCATGATGATAAATATTTGTCACATGAACAACGCGTTTTATTTGATCAGCTTTATCCACTTGTATTTCGTAGAAAATATTGATTTAATGCTGGACTAGTTACTTTATTGAGAAACAAGATAGCTGAGCGACAACAACTGCGTTACGCATCTGTCACCCCTACGAGAGCTTGTAACGGTACTTGAGCAAGTCCTGCTACTGCATCCATTGTTTTAGCGAGTATGGTTGTTGGAACAGGGGCAGGAGGAACTGGATTGCCAATAGGCAGTAACATGTATAATGATTGAAAATGGTAGTTATGTTAACCAAGGGCCACAACCAACTTCTCGCCAGAAACAGCCTTTCGTTTTAGCATATCAACTCCTTCCAGCACTGCTTCAAAGCTGTTGCCCAGAATCCTTAGTGGATGTGGTCTCAACTTCCCCTGGTTCAGCATCTTCTGCACGCTACGGTACCACTGCACTCCAAACGCTCGCATTTCGGGATCCTCGTCCCGCTCGTAGCCGTAGCTCAGCGCAAGTCGGTGGCCCAGCAGTGAAGGACCCATGATGAAACCCACCTTGATGGATTTGCGCTCGAGGACGTAGTCTGGGTACATCTCCAAGCAGGCATAGCGGCCACCGGCACGGCCCATAGCCGCAAAACAGAGGGCGATGCTCTTAGCATCCGTAAAAGGATCAAGCACGTACGCAAGCGTGTTTTTGGTATAGGCTTTGATGTTTTGGGCGCAGTCTGGGGAATTGTAATCAAAAACCTCCGCCGCGCCAAACCTTTTAGCAAGGGCAAAGTTCTTGGGAGAGCATGTAGCTATGGGTATGTGCCCTGTCCTTTGGTCCCCATTCTGTCAGCTACAAGATATGATACTCAGACGCCTGATGGAGCTATGCAATTACTTACAGTCGCACCAACTGCATCGCCATGGTTCCCACCGAAGAGCTTCCCCCGTGCACAAGCACTGTCCGCGGCTTCGTCGCCGGCTCCTCCAGGGTCCCTGGCAAAGCCAGTTCCTTGAACAGCGCCATGCCCAGTGTCGCCAGGCCCGTCCCCCCCAGCGCGGCAGCCTCTTCGAACGACATATCGGCCGGGATCTTGAGTGTGAACTCGGATTCGCACGGTATGTAATCGGCAAAGGCGCCGGACTCGGGCCGGAGAGGATTTGAGCCGTGGACGGCCCCGCAGACTCGGTCTCCGATGCTCCACTTTGTCACGTCCGATCCGAGAGTGACGATCACTCCTGCAAAATCGCAACCGTCCACCGCCCCAGGGTAGGGGAAGCGCTCGTGCATTTTGTAGTCGCATGGGTTGATTGCGACGGCCATCACATGGACCAGGACCTCGTCCGGTCGGAGACTGAGGAGCTGAGCATTGTGCTCGATGCGAAGGCGGTGGTCATCGCCCTCGACAATAGCCGTGCGGGCTATCGGCAAAGAAACCGCATTCGCCATGACCAGACTGCCAAGTGCGTGGAAGTAAGTTAATGACTGGCCTTGTTGGTAGCTGGACATAACACCCTTCTCCTGGCTCTCTAAGTCCATTTTATACTCTCTAATGGCACTGTAATGTTTGGCATTCCAAGTCGGAGTACTTCGGAGACCCGGCCTTTTCTCACTTTCAAGACTATGCTACACCTATGAGCTCGATACCTCCATTCTCCAGACATAAAGCATGACAAATCCTTCTTATTCTTCTATAACCCTTGGCCTCGCCCTCGTGTCAATATAGTTGCCAACAAAACACTGCAATGTTGATCCGGCTCGTGCCTATAATCGGCCTGCTGGCCACCGTCGCTAATACTCATGGCTGGCCAGAGCCTTGGCTATCTCACTGGCATGAGCCGAATAGCGATGTCTTCCCAGGTCAGCAAATACCTCTGGCGGCTGACGACAATGACACCAGGGCGGGCTGCCGGGTAAGCAACATGACGGCGTTTGAGATGGCCAAAGGCAGAAAAATCGTTGATTTCACTACAAAGGCCATGGGCAGCCTCGAAGAGCCAAAGATACCACTACTCAACTGATCCGCGGGAGAGCAGTGGGAGTTTGACGGAGTCTCTGATGATGGCATGCAGTCCTTCGTCTTTGGCTTTTACCGCGATGCCAATTACGCCATCCTAGGCACCGGGAACTTCCGTCTTTCCATAGAATTTGGCTTTGCAGACAGCACACGCTTCTACGAGGTGTACTATCCCCAGCGATCTGTCGTCGAGACATGCCCACACGGAACCCGCGGTCTGTGGATAGACGAGAAGACTGGCCATCAGTTTTCTTTCCAAGTCAACGCAGACCTGACAGAGGCTATTGTCACATTAGATTCTGACACTCTGAAGGGAAAGGTGTACATTCACTCGCGGGCGTTGCCCCTGACCGCGGATGGGAACGTGTGGCCGGCTGAGAACGCATCTACCGCACCTATTCCCTACTGGCACTGGTCACAGCCCATTCCGGCCGGAACAGTGGAAACCGACGTCGAGATTAAAGGCAATCCCATCAAATGGACCGGTATGGGGGGACATGAGCGGTTCTGGTCCGCGTTTAGGTGAGTTGCATATACAGTTCTGCAGCACGTGGCGTTGTCTCAGCCTACTAATCAGTCAACTCTGGCATAGTTGGTTTACATGTCTGAGAAAGCTGCAAGCAGTGAGAGCCATGTTGGGTCCCTATGTGCTCAGCTATTTTGCTTTCACTTCCGAGATCAACCCAGAGCACTCGCACCAGTCTGTTGTCCTTTTCAAAGATGGTGCCCCAGTCTTTCGAAGCACGGCCAATACTCCCTCTGATACGGAAGACTATGCTCTTGTCACCAAAACCTATGGTGGAGCTGTTACAGGCACTCTCAAAGACAAAGTCACTGGCTTCCAGCTGGAACTCGTTTCGCCTTCGAATATGCATCACTACACTTTCTTTGTGGAGCATCTCAACCTCGGATTTGAATACATCCTCGGAGAGGGCGTGGGAGGTAGTGGCTTCTCTGGCCGCTCAAGAGGCGGACATGTAGGGCTGGGCCAATATGATGGAGTCGCCCTCACCGAGGCTCTGACTTTTCCTCAGAATTCACCCCTTTTCAAGAGCAATTACGTAGATTAATCTGATCACTTGGACCTTTAATACTCTTTGCTAGGGAACTGTTCAGACCTGGGCAATTGTAAGAGGTCTGACAAAGCCAAAATAAAATTCTGCTCTATCCCATTTGCTGTGCACCCGGCGCCGCTTGACAAGTCTCTCAAAGTTAAATATCCCAATTTCACTCAATCACCATACATAAAAAAAAAGCTCACGAGCTCAAGGCAAGCCTTTTCACTTTCTTCATTCCTTATAAATATATAAATGGAACGGTCCAGGCTGAGTATATTGACAACTGGCTGGACTACTATAAGAATTATCCAAACATGAAGAGGGGAAGATCAAAAAGGCCACAGCTACCACCGGGCTCAGCCGGTGACATAGTACTACATATCGCCATGGGTACGCATGTATAGAAGGGAAACGTGGATTGGTCCTCGATTGATTCTACGCAGATAGGGAATTGAGACCTGATTGATAGCTGTTCGACGAGGCAATTCGTAAAATACTCTAGATCTCGGGCTGATAGCTGAATTCCTAGAATGTTCAATTGAAGCCATGGAGTCGGAGGACTCAATTGGGGGAGCATTACTACCCACTTTCTCATGAGAGCCAGGGACGATGCGCGTCATTGAGTTTTGAGCATGACTAACAGTCGTAGTCAGTTGTTGATCCCATGGCGAAGTATTTTTTGGCCGTCGCTCGTCGCTGCCCAAAATATTGTCGACACACCACCTGCTTGTCCTCGCGATTATACTAAACCGGCTCTCACACATATTGGCCAGTGGTATTTCCTGTTCTCATTTCCCCACACACTCCATAAAACGCGGCACGGTGTCCGACCCCGACCCCGATCCCGACTCCGATGTCTCGGGTTGCCGATTCCGAAGACAATAGATATCTCCCAGCTATGAGTCTTGTTTGAATGCCACGCCCTATATCCTCCGGGCATTGCCACTGGTATAGGCGTGCATCGCAGCTACAGTGCCGAACATGGCGTGGTCGCACGCATAGTCTGTTGTCACCTATATGAACCCGCTTGGCCGGTAGCTTCGGCTGCTAGACCAGTTAGAGCTCGAAAAAGAAGGCTCCCTTTTGACAAACCTGCAAGAAGAGAGTGATTACGCTCATACTCGATACTAGGAGAAGAATCCTTCAGCGGCAACATGCACAAACTCTTCCCTGGCAGCGGCTTCTTCGATTTCGAGGCCATTCGCATCCTCGGTACCACAGTTTATGGCGGGGCTGATGTCGCAGAAGTCCTCGAGGCAGTTGGAGAAATCAAGCCAGGAGACCCCGTGTCCTGGGAAAGGGCCTGGCGAACGCAGGCGTTGCGGGCCGAAGAGCTTGCAGATGAAGCCCACCGCCACGGCGATCGCGATGCAGCCAGACGGGGTTACCTCCGCGCGGCAAACTACACTCGTGCCAGCGGATACATGTATGTGTCTACCTCAACGGGTAATGGAGAGTCTCTTGCCCAGGACGCATGCTCCGTCGCGGAAAAAGTTCGCACATTATTTCGCAAGGCCTTGCCGCTGATGGACGGGCAGGTACATCGCCTATCTATACCGTACGATGAGTATCACTTGCCAGGATACTTATATCTTCCACCCGTCGACCGAAAGATAAAGGGGAGGAAGACGCCGATCCTCGTCAATTGTGGCGGGGCTGATTCCTGTCAGGAAGAACTTTACTTTCTCAATCCTGCCGCAGGGCCCGGAATGGGATATGCCGTCCTGACCTTTGACGGGCCCGGCCAGGGTCTGATGCTCAAGCAGTACGAGGTCACCATGCGGCCGGATTGGGAGACGGTAGTCGCCCAAGTCATCGACTACTTGGTCAAATTCAGTTCTCAACACCCCGAGTTGGATTTAGACTTGGACAGCATCGCTGTTTCAGGTGCATCCATGGGCGGCTACTTCGCCCTTCGGGCAGCGGCAGAGCCCAGGGTCAAGGCATGCATATCCATCGTAAGTAGAATCAGTTTCGTTCCGCGCCGGCTACTGTTAGGGCACGCAAATACTAATATAAGCCGCATAGGATCCTTTCTACGACATGTGGGATTTTGGAACGGCTCATGTGTCCCCGATTTTCATATCGGCCTGGACAAAGGGCTGGATAGGCCACGGCTTTGTAGACCGGATGATAGGGTGGCTGTCTGCTGTTTCTTTCCAGCTAAAGTGTGAGATATCCATCACCAGTACGTTGTTTGGCTTGTCTTCACCGGCAGGGATCCTCCAGCACATAAAGAAGTATACCTTCGCCAGCGGCAGCGAGGACGGGACGAGCTTTCTCTCCCACGTGACCTGCCCAGTTCTCGTCTCTGGAGCTGGAAAGTCTCTATATATGGACGTAGATAATCACACTAGGCGTTGCTTTGAGGCTTTAACCAATGTGCCTCCACAGAATAAGGAGATATGGGTGCCTGAGAGCGATGGCCAAGGGAGTCTTCAGGCCAAGATGGGGGCTTTGGCCTTGTGCAACCAACGAACATACCAGTTTCTGGACAAGGCATTCGGCATAATTAGAGATCCGTTATTGTAACGAGGGCAGAACCTCCTCGTATAAATCTCTTTGAAGTTTTAATTTATTGAGCTAGCCTTTTCGCAAGCACCATCTGGTCCAACACCAGTTCCCAACAAGTTTGGGTAAGCACTCCAAGGGTGTGTATTACGACCAGCTGTTTCCTTATAACTACTGCTAGGACTGCTGCAAACTAATAGATAAATTATAAATACCTAGTAATTTTTACACCTTTATTTGAGTCTACTTTTACTACCTAATACTTCTTAGAACCTAGAGATCAGCTACTCACGCTAGGTACCCGTAGAGACTTTACACCTTACTCTCACCAGTCAGGATTGTCATAGTGTACTGACTCGCTAGCATCCTAAAATATGCATAAAATAAGCAGTGGCCTGAGATCACACAGGTTGCCCGAATCGGCAATTAGTGCGGTGCACGTACAATATTGGAGTACGAACTATCCCAAAAGACAGACTCATCTATTCTCGCATGGATAGAAAATTTCCTCTTAACTAGTTATCCCCAAGCAGTAGTCTAAGCAGTAACCTAACTTATGCAGCTTCAAATCGAGAACCAGGAGAACCAGCCCACTGTCAATTGAACTCATAGCTAGTGACATCAAGTGATATTTCTCAAAGTTTTATATCATCTCAATTGTAAATGCAAGGGCCTGCGCTGTAGGTCTCAATCGTCATCATCGGAGTCATCATCTGATGCGTTACCCGAACCTTCCCCTTTGTTTCCTTTGTTTCCTTTGTTTTTCTTTTTCTTCGATGTGATGGGAGACGCGTTTGTTGCGGGAGCCAAAGGAGCTCCTGCCATGGCTGCCCATTCATCGAACTTTCCATTCTTGGCTTGAGCCAGCCGGGCTTGAAATCCTCCAAATCCCTTGTTATGAAAATTAAGAATCGCAGCAGGCGAAGCTGGATTACCCACTTTCTCGCTACCAAAGGCCCAGCCCATTTTGACGGTGCCTGATGTCGCTGCTGCACCGAGACCTAGCGCATCGTCAAGGCAACCTTCACAAAGAAATGTGTATGTGAAGAGCGAGGAGTTGGCTGATGTGCCGGCAGCTATCGGCCTGGCTCGGAAATTTCCAGTGACCTCGGGAGGATTATCATCCTCGTTGAAGGCTTGTCGGAAGGAAGACACGACTTTCCCACCATCTGCCCACGCTGCCATAAGTAGAGGGCCTTCCATGTCGTCTGTGAGTGACCAGCCTCCCCAGCCGGCGCCATCATTCAGTGGGAAGGATAGCTGGCCGATAAAGGAATTGTTTGCCGTCTCAGGGAGAGCAATACCAAAACTGAAAGATGTTTTGACCCCGAAAAATCGCTCGAAGGTTATCCCGGTGCGGGGATCTGTGAATGTCGCGGTGACTTTTTTCTGACAGAAACACTTGCTAATAAGAGCAGCATAAAAGGCTGTATACATGAAAATATACGATACAGACCACATTTTGATAGCCTAGAGTAAAGACTAGTGTCTAAGTAGAAAGTAATAAACATGCTAGATAATACCAAGTGTTAATTCGAACGTCAATGTCCAGCTAGCGTTCCAAATACGCGCTTTATAACCCAGAGTTAAAACCGTAAACTGTCCTTACCGCAATGACTAATGTGAAAATTTCTTCTAAAATTAGCATACTACCCAGAATGGCACGTGAAGGAATTCCTTCCCAGAGACCCCACAAGGTTACAGTCTGATACTCAGCTACTTATGCTGTTCACTTTTAATATTGACGTACTAATAGGTGCTATGGATAGTCTGGCATTCCACGTCTAATAGCCCGCACATTGTTGACCAATAAAACAACCCTACTTTTGCTTCCAAGGCGATCGAAACGTGTAAAACGGAGATGTTGGGCAAGGGGTCAAGTAGCGAGTAATGTCTGTGTGGCAGCACGGAAAGGTCTAGTTATGCGGTTCACTTATGCGACTGAGGCCGCCAATAGCTCAATGACAGGCTTTCAGGCGAACTTGACCCTTGTTGCATCAAATACTAGTTAAACTGGTTTGACCAAGCATAAAGTATTATTAGGATACAATTTACTCCCAACGGTGAATGTCCACCTCCGTACGCGACCACTTGCCACTCTTGACACGTGTTATCGCTTGATAAGCGAGAATTACAGGAGGTTTTATTATGCCCCTTGCGTCGTGTCGGCAAACCAGGCAGTATTTTATTGACCACACGCCAGCTATACTGGTAGGATCTCTAGGAATTGCATAGTCCACCTTATCTGGGTTTGATCTATTTATATTCTTCTTAATCTATACAAGATTTGTGCTCCTAGATTAAGCTAAGATTTTGCAAATAGACACCTTATAAGCTATGTATTATATGTATTCTAGCTTATATTATAACTTAAAATAAATGAATTTCTTAGAAAATATTATTTTATTTAATAAGTGTAATTTTCTATCTCCGAATTCTAAACTTATTACTCGTTTAAGTCAGCTACTTTGTAGTTATAATATTAGTAGTAATAAGGAATACGGTGTATAATCAGGTAATATAGCAATATAAGCTTAATTTTATAAACACAAAACGTTAATATAATGCCTTGTTTAAAGTATTAATAGTTAAAAAACATATTAATTTATATAGCCTGCCTCTGCTGTACCAGAAATAGCATTAATTAATGTTGTGGTCTGTAACTGCCAGATCCACTAGACAAGGGGTCGACTGAGTCGAGCAGTAGTTTCATATACGTAGAGAGTAGATTATAGAGGAGCTGCGTTTGCTGGCCAAAACGCTCCAGCGACAGGATTTGTTTCATCCCTGTAGTTGTAGTAGGCTCCCGCGATTATTCCACCCTGTATAGCCCCATAATTTCTTTATTCTACCAAGATCTATTGGGCTGTTAGTATAGGTTTAGAGAGCCAAGAGGGTATAATTTCAACCTGAGGTCAGAGAAAATCGCTATTATTAGCTCTTTTTTTCCATGACTCAATAGTCGAATTTAATGCGTATTATGACAGGAGATTGACTACTAGAGTACTATATCTTACGAAGCCCGGGAGTCTGATACCATAATTATAAAAACATCTATTTCTTTAAACTATTAAGTTCTATAAATTAAAATCAAGACTTCTCTCAATCTAATCAATACTTTACTTTCAGGCCTACAAGACAACTTCGCAAAATGCATTTCATGCCAAGCATCGCAGTTGTGCTAGTGTTCGGGACAGGCTCCTCGTTTTCTTGGCCTACACTAGCAGTAAGAGGTCTTCTAGCAAACGTTCCAACATTTAAAGACGCCGACTTTGACACGAATAATGCGATCGAAATATTGGGGAAAAGAGGGAAGAAGAACGCGGCAAAGTCAGCGACTTGTCCTACCGCGATTACTAAAGCTCCAGCTACAATCACTTCCGCTCCCTCTTCCAATAATACTGTCCTCAGAATCAAAGGCGAAAACAACAAAAAAATCAAAACCAACGGGTTCTTCGGCTCCCCTAATTCCGTCCAGGGCGGATTCCTGTTCACCAAGATAAATATGCCTTCGAATGTAAGCTAGTTTACTCTATCATGCAGGAGCATGTACTAAACTCAGAGACAACAACATGTGTGATTTTTGCTGACACCGAAACAGGCTGTTGGAAATCTAGAGGTCGAATACAATGGCACCGAAGCCAATACAATTCTTGTTGCACCCAAGATGGCTAATATACAACCACCCGCGGGAATGGTGTTCGTTGACCCAATGACGTTCATAGTTTCTACTGCGAAGCCCCCCGTTACGGGCGATACACTAAAAATAGATTATATATTCACCGAGGCCGTGAAGTCAGCAGTGGACCCCTCCCTAGTTAGAGTCGGAAAGCTGGATACGGCGGCCAACCAGTGGGTGACAGATGGGTTGGGGGAGTTTGAGTTCGAGAAAGAAGAGAACGAGTGGTCCCAGGAGGTATCAGATTTGAACGGCGAGTGGGGCATTTTTGCTCCTGTAGCTGCTGGGCAGCCAGGCCAGGTGTGACGGTACAAGGACACGAGCAGAGTATATCTATTGGGGACTGTATACCTGAGCGCTGTAACCTATCTTACTAGCCGGATCTAGTCAGAAGCTCTACAACCTACATCCCTTAGTGTATTGTACACGTAAAAAAATAGGTTTACTTGACATGTTCTTTAAAAAACGCCTGGAGGATTTATCTGCGTCGGGGAATAATACGTATAACTACAAACTTCCATGTTAGGTCTAGAGGGTACACCAAGCTACTTTAGAAATGCCCACCGGGTAGGAACTGCTTTGATAGATGCTAATTTTTTGCGTCAATGTGCAATAGCTACAAGAAGCGAGAGTATATATAGACGAAGTAATTGCAACGGTTAATTCATAGAGCGATGATATTATAGGTTGGCCGAGCCTCCATCAAAATATGCTGTAATGGCAGGTTCAGTGTCGTGACGTATAACGGGATATTTGAACCTCTCGGCCCAGCGACCACCCAAACCAGGCGCGTAATTCCGCCAATAATGTGTCAGTCTACTACTAGGCGGGGTAGCTCCAAGACTTACTCAATTACTGGTGTATTTGGGCTATCAAGAAGCTTTCTTATTGTAGTTGTTCGCCAAAGAACGTTGCTACGCTAAAGAAGGCTGTTCACGTAGCCAGTACTAGACGCTTTCCCCACCTAGTTGTCCGGCAGTGCCGACGCAGGTACAGGGTCTCCAAATAACCAGAAGAGCTCGACGTGGCGGTAAGTCCATCTTGTAGGTTTCTTGAGCACTTGAGTCCTTTTTGTTGGACGAGGCGACACAATGACATGCTTATTGAAGATATATTAAGTCAAGTGCTGTCTAGGTCGCCGTTCGGCACTCAATGCTTCGAAAGCTGATCAGTAATGCCAATGACACATAGCCACCAATTTCCCTTATAGATACAGATACGGATTTCGTTTCACTCAGAGGGAAGTCTCGACTCCCTAGAACGGCCTGCCCGGCCCTAGACAGAGAGGCAATACAAGTTTACAACTTTTTCAAGAGGGCCCCTTTGATCGCGATGATATCGAGAAAGAGCGTACACAGGGTGTATGTACTGGTATACAGGGACGCTGGTACGAGTATGGAATGGTCTTGAGATGCTTCGACTAAGCAGAAGAGGGCCGTGGCCTGAAGCTCTGATCTGATACACATCCGATTCTGAGAGTCATTTCCCAGTCCAGGAGCCGGAACAGGGCGCCAAGTTCCTTTGCTCTCCAACACATTGAAGAAGCTGATTCTTGTCTTGGTGATGGGCCGGCTGAGCGGCTTCGCGGTTCGTTGCAGATGATGCAGCGGTGAGTGTCTGACCCGGCAGCACACAGGAGAATTTACAGATTGTCGAGTTTTATAGCATTAGTCACATCCTTTTTAAGCCGATGAGTTGCATTCAACTTACCCTAATCGTACAGCAGTGACAAGACTCCAATAATGCCGACAAGACAGTATTCCCAGTCGTCCTCGCGTGTAGTCCGCCGCCCCTCTGCCCATTTGAATCGCTCTCTTCGCTGTCAACTCCTGCAAAAGCAGCAGCTCCGCAAAGATAGAACATCAGTTCCAGTTATTTAGTGAATCTCTTGCTCTAGAAAAATTACATTAGCAAGCCGTCAGCTTTCCTTGCCAAAGAATATAACCGACGCCGGTGCCAGAAGCTCTTGGAGATTCCAGCCCCAAGTAAACCACTCACTTAATCGAAATGCCGGCTTCAATGCGAGCTTGGGCACCTGATTGTTATCTCGACGGTCAGAAACTGAGATATCGGACAAGTACGCGTAGCATCTAGCCGCATTTTAATACCAGTGGAAATTGGAATGAATAGTCTCGTGTAGCGCGGCGTGTTTAGGTTTATCGATATAACAATCGTCTACCTAGAAGTATCTTAGGTTGTTTTACGCTTATCGAGCACAGAACCCAATCTTATTATAGCCAGTCTTGTGTCTCCCCTTTTGTTGATTAGGTCTGTAGAAGTGATTCCTTGGGAATGAAGCCCCATGTATAAAAATGTATAATGCAGCCCGGGATCTTGTTATACGTAGTTCCTTGGTTAAACTAGTTTTGCTATCCAGACTGCATTCCGATAACCGCGTAACAAGTCAGCTGTTTCTGTTTTGGGTTAAGCGAGAACCATAACGGCACAAGTTGGGTTTAGAGGCTACGGTTCTCCAAAGCATTTTTGTTATTTGATGTTTATTGTTGCGTTAATAGCACACTGGATATTTGGGTCTCATTATTCATAACAGGGCCTCCATCTTCGCGGCAACGCGTAGCTTTGTGCTATGGGGTAGTATTGGCACTTCCTCGCCGAGAAAAAGACATTGGCAGATGATAGCGCTGCTTGCACGCAATCAGATTCTGTGCTAATTACAGCTCTGGCTCGACTGATAATCTATCCCTACGTAAAAGCAAGATTAACTTAGCTATTATAGAGGCTAACTAAAGACGACTTACAGTTTTTCACTTGCTGGGAAATGATACCTCTAGCAGGTTTCCAGAATAACTTGATATTCTCTCCCGGCTGCGGTTTAAGGAAGTCAACCTCGACAACTTGTATCCTCCCCGTTTCGTGGTTTGGCCCGTTATCCTTAACAGTGCTAGTATTTGAGAAGGCAATGAACTCTCTTGTACGGACTCGAACGGCATTGAGCCACTCAAGTTGATCTTCGACGCCAAAGAATGCCTTGGATACGATCTTGCCAATATAGAACCAGAATGACCACGGTTTATCGAAGTCGTAGGGAATACCTGCAATAAGCTGCATAAGTAAATCAAACCGCTTGTCAGAAAGCCTAGGCAAACGTTAGCATGCTTGCATTAGGCATAACATATTTCTGGATTCCATACTGGATAACGAAGTGGCTGATAGCTGCTGCCTCCAGGTGTTACACGGAAAAGGCCCAACAGATCGCGAAGCCCACCAAAGGGGCTTCGCGCCGATATAGGACTTATTGGTTACACGGCTAGAACACGTGCCCGGGCAAGAACCCTAGGCCCGGGCGTTCCTTTCATGTATATAAAGCAGTCACCCTTCTCTTCCTTCCTCTTAGCAACTCAGGACCTTTGACATCCTACGAGATTATTATTGAATTGAGCCCCTTATTGCTCCAAGCCCTCTTTCCGAGCCCTTGTCACACCAGGCCCTGGTTTCGAACCTCAGCTGTGATGCCGGCCTTAGGAACTGGAACGGTTATAGCTCTGTGATCAGGTAGTGTTTGATCCATGTTGAGTTGTAATTTCGGAATTGAGTTGCTTGGAAGAAGTTTTTCGGGATAAAGTAAAAGAAGAGAGAGGGAGGGGATGTTGAGACACTGACCACTCACGTGACGACTCACGTCATAATATCTTGTCTTGGTCAAGGCTTTATCCAATTTTAACCAGCTAGATATCTCCGCATGCTTGCATGGTATTTTTGGCGTTATAGACTTCTAGTTTCGTCACAGCACAGAGGTGATGTGGAGAAGGAAGAATTATGGCTGTTGGCATTGCACAAGCCGTCTGGATTCCGGACCCAAGAATCACACGACCTAGTGACAAGGCGCAGCCTTGCTAGAATAGGCGGTTATGGCATGGAGGCAACCAAGGGACATGACCACATACGTGTCGCCGGTAGCACACTTACCACCTGGCGGTGAGTGTAAAAGCACCAGACATGTATTGGCCAGTTGACCTATTAGCGTGTAGCTAGTAGTTGCACAACAAGCACTGCCTCGGCACAGGTATTACAGTCGCCAACAGCATGCGACTATTATGGTAAACTAGAGCTAACAAGCCGAGCTATCTCATGTGATGTCCAATTACTTGGCATGTTACAGCAGAGCTCGGGACACCTAGGCAGAAAACACATTGCAAGGTTAGCTAGGCAGGCGATTCGCTAAACACTGAAATAAGCGAATGTGTTATTCACAGCTGCCTCAATCAGTACCGCAAAAGGTGGATGAATGTGAAATGTATATCAGGGGGTTATCTTTCACAAACTGAACGTCAACCATTATCTGCAAAACTCTCATGTTTAACCTGTATTCGCAAGCCACGTTGACGAGACCCAGCCAAATCCATGGAGGCGGTATCCCCGGTTCTGGAGTGAAACATGATGCTGCAGATGGCCAACCAATCAAGATGGCTCCATCCCCTGTTATGCAAGTCGGGATTTGGGAAAGGGCAGATCACATCTCCAGAGCCACAATTACACGTAATATTTTGTATCATCGCCCAGATCTGCAGTTCTATGCTGGAGTTCTACTGGCTAAGTGTCGTCTTGGTGGTGAAAGGCAAGTGTCAAAATTCTACTCCCTGTTTGCAACATCTCCATCGCGGCGTCACACTGCTTGCGGAACGTAGGGGAGCTAGGGCAATGATGCAAACTGCCCAGTCCCTGGTCCGAATTCTGTATTTATCGCGAATCGTATGTGTCATCTTTTATTGTTTGTCTAGGTGCTGTGAACCAAATTCACGCGTCTAAAACCACACTTTTGAAGTCGTATCAAGTACCCAACACACTAAAAAATGCCAGGTAAGCGTCGCTGATGAATGTTAGAGATAGCATGCATCGTATAACGAGTAGGATAAAGGCGTTAAGATAGCAACACAGGTATATTGGCATACGATATGTACCTAATCCGCATTGCCTACACCATGGCTCGTTTCAGGCGCTCTCTGTAAAATAGAGACGCCTTGAAGCGCATATCACAATACTCGAGTTCTTCTCTCCTCTTGCTTTGGCTTTGCTGGTAGTGATTAGGAGCTCAAAAGCATGCCGTAGTCAACGAGCTTCCGGATCATGTGCGCGCCTGTTCGTTTTATCACGCTATATAAGCTGCTCGGGAAAAGTACTCCGTGGTACCACCGCATATATTCCACGTGCGAGGACCACGTGTTTTGGATGGTTCCTGATAAATGGAAAGTAAACGGGTTGAAAATCCGTGTTTCGCCCATGTTGCGGAGAATATTACTATTCGTATATGATAATCGAGGTTCGCGGGTTCTGATATTCAGGAGAGCAACGTACAACGCGTTACAACGTCCAGGAGGTTGTGACCTGGCTCGGCTGGAATATCTGCATAAAGGCGGCTTGATTGGCAGGATCGGATTTGCACTACTTTCATGCTGATCATGTTGTTTCAGTATCGGAGCGACGGTAAGGCAAAACAACCGCAGTCTGGTATCTTAATGTAAACCAGGCACAGGTAAGCCACTGTCGGGACTTTAGGCCCTGTATACCGGGGTTACTATGCGGCCCATGTTGCTTTAACGATCGTCCCTCTGGCGAAAACATAAATAGAATATTCGCCCAGCGTTGAGTTGCCTGGTGAAACCGGTCGCTATTGCGGAGCAACGATGTGCTGCGAATTGGCGAATTAAATACACATGGGCAATTTGCGAACCCCACGGGATGCCCATGGGATGGCTCTCCCGGTCGCGATTCCGCCTTGTCTACCTTTTTGCCAGAGATGTATACGAAGATCGACACTCGTCAGGAACAACATGCCATCTGATGCGGCGAGCATATACCAGAAGGGAAGGTCACCAAGAAGACTGCTTCAGATGTCCGTGTGGGAAGGGGAAAACAAACCCCAGCGAATCGGACACTGGTTCCGGAGATGATCGTAGGTTGGTGGACCAGGTCCGCCTTCAAGAACCTAGACGCCTTGGCTGAAAGAACTTGGTATCCAATGCATTGGACGCACAATGACCCCCCTGCGCTTTCTCCCCAGAGCCACAAGCGATTGACCCGCCAGGTCCATGTCACTTGAAGTCGACATCGGAGAAAATGGGGTTGCCAAGGCCAGAGGTGGTATTGGCAGAGCCGGCTGGGCGACTCGGATCGTGGTTCACGGGGTACCAGAGTTTGGCAATTCTTGGTTCCATGGCGTAAAGGTCGTTTGACCACGAGTTTCAGATGCCGATCTGTTTTTGTGCGTGGGAAGGTGTTTGGAACGACAGCATGCATCGCCGGGTCGTTATTGGATATCCCCAGTACTATTGACCCCAGTATTACTTGACAGAATTGAACGGGGAATATGGAAACGAAGCCACAAACAACGCTTGGCTCCAATGACTAGTTGTTAGTGTATACTGGACGCAATGTTGCTGATGAACTGTGCTACATGTGGCTTGGAAACACACCATCAGGCGCAGATCTTCAGGAGACCACTGATGCTCTACCCCTGTAGGAAGCTAGAGGGCTTCCTGTTTTATCAGGGCATATCGCTGTGTTGAAAATCTCCGCATTGACATCACCGTTGCGATCCTCTTAAGCTTGGTACTTTCTGCATTGGCTGGTAGTTTTGCAACCATCTCGAAACAATCATGTACGACTATCAACTACACAGTCACACCAGACAGGAAACGCAGTAGCTTCGTAACCATCGCACATCCCCGTCTTCCACTACAAGTTCGACCACTGGAGTGTATCCCACGAGTTGGGCGGTGGGCCGAACCAGTTTATTTTTTCGTCTGAGCAGCGCCACCCAGGAAGCATGGCCCGACATCGAAGCTTGCATATATTGACTGACACAATCCCGACCCACCTTCACACTACTATCAACATTTAATGTTGCTACTACAGTAAAGCCCCAGCCCATCATCATTCGACCGGGTACAAGATGCTGCGGCAAAGGCTGGCCAAGGGGTGGGGGAATGCGTGATTTCAGTCAATACGTTGCTACGGGCAAAACTCCCACATGGATGATCAATTAGCACCTATGTGCTGCTAGCAATTGCCGTGATTGTTGACCTTGATATTTGGACAGGTCTGATGTCTCCCCATTGACCAAATGTATACGTTGTCTATATCAAAACCACTCAAAGATACCATGGCAACGCTATTGAATTCCGCTGGTGTCACCGTTGATCAGTCTGCCCGTCAATCCAGAATCGCGCCGAGAGCTCCAACATCAAGTTGTCAGAGGAAACGAAGCGAAGGAAACAGCCACCTAACGCCATCAGGAAAGTAGCATTGCCATCCCCGGCTGCTGCGTTGAAAAATGGTTCAACCATACTTGACAATGTCTGACATCGACCCCACGGATCGACACTCGGACGTCAACTGTTCTGCGATCTACGCCACTGGCTCCCGTCGCCATGTGTCGGTAGACTCCCAAAGTTCCTCAAGGAGACAGACAAGCCTGGGCTAGATTTTGTCAACACCGCGGACAGATTTCTCCACATGGGAACAAGTATAAGTAGAGGACAGTGTCTTAGTCCGCCAAAGGGAGATGCTTCTTCTTTAGCCACATCACTGCTGCAATCGAAGCTCAACAAGCCTCGCCGCCTTGCTCCCATCTCCAGCACCTTGATATACACCCAGTTGAGTCATCTTTTTTTCCGAAACTCACAATGAAGCTGCTTGCTGGCCTTGCTGCTCTCGTCTCCCTGGGTGCAACCGCTCCTCAGCCACCCACCCCTCTTGATGTCCAGCTCCAGATGGATGGCAACAGTGCCGTCAAGGCTACCATCACCAATAATGGCAAGGACGACTTGAAAATATTTAGGACAGGAACCATTCTCGACAAATCTGCTATCCAAAAGACCCGTATCACCGGTGTGGACGGTACGTTCCCCCCTTTCCTCTTATCAAGCTCAGCTTCCAAGCCAAAAAAAAAAACTGACCTGTCACAGGCAAGGCCGCATCTTTCGAGGGTTTCCGCCAGCGAATTACCACCAAGGGTCTGAAAGACGACGCCTTTGAGCGCATTCCCGCTGGGCAGTCTATCGAAGTCACCTTTAACGTGGGCGAGGTGCATGACCTCTCATCCGGCGGCAAATTCGACATCCACTCCTCCGGCGTCATGCACTTTGCCAACGACAGCGACAACACCATCATCGGCTCTGTCCCTTACCACTCCAACTCCATCACAGCCAACATCAACGGCTCCGAGGCAGGCGCCCTCCTCAAGTCCTTCCAACGGGCACAAAAGCGCGCCATGAAGCGCACCAATGTCCAGTCTGACTGCACCGGCAGTCATCGCTCCGTGACAGACACCGCGCTCAACAACTGCCAGCAACTCGCCAGCTCTGCCCAGTCAGCCGCGCGGTCCAACGACGCCAAGGTGAAAGAGTACTTCAAAGACTCTAGCGAGGCGACCAAGAGCGCCGTCGCCGACGTGTTCGGCAAGGCGGCTACCGAGTGCGGCTCGACCGGCGGCGGCGTCTCTAAATACTACTGCACCGACATCTCCAACCAGTGCAACGGCGGTGTCTTGGCCTACACTTACCCTGGTCAGAGCTACCAGGCCTACTGCGGCTCGTACTTTGAGATGACTCCCTTGACGTCCCAGTGCCACGCCCAGGACCAAGCCACGACCAACTTACACGAGACTACGCACCTAACGCAGATCAAGGGCACAACCGACAATGGCTACGGCTACGACAACGCCATGAAGCTGGATACTCAGAAGGCTCTTGACAACGCTGACACCTATGCCTTGTTTGCCAACGCCATCAGGGCCAACTGCTAGAGCGCAAGAGTAGGGGGGAATATGCCAAGTCTGTGTTGGCGTATAAAACACCCTGAGTGGTAGAATATATTTGCTTATTGGAAGGCATATATGGGAACACTGTAGTATATTATAGTGCAGAGCGCTAAATCGGGTTGAATACTTGTATCCTCCCACCGTCTCTATTTGTAACAGTCCAACACGCCACATGGTGACGTTCCATCTCTCCGATGGAACATTTATGCAGTTGATGACCCGCAAAAGCTACATAACAAGCCCCAGTCTATAGAATCATAATCGAGCCAGTATTTTGTGAATCTGTTGCACGTACCAAAGCTGTGGAAAAAATCGTCAATACTGGCTCCTTAGAAGCGTCATGGGCAAAAGAGCACTCACAGTTTCGGCCGCGCCACCAATCGACCTCATACCCAGCACGCTGCTCAGCCAGGAAGGCGCGACACTCTTTACGTACAACCTGGCCGCCTCGTCCTTGACCTCCTTGTTAAAAATGGTATTCTTGGGGAGGAAAGGGTTGAGAATCGCGGGCCGCCCGATGCCAACAAGGTCACAACCGCCGTCCTTGATGGCGGCCTCCATGCCCTGCCGCGATCGGAAACCGCCCGTGACCATCAGAGGCACGCCTTTGAATCTGTCACGAATCGCGTGGGCGAATTCAATAAAGAAGGCTTCGCGGGCTGCGGTCCGCTCCGACACGGGGGGGTTGGCTTTGCCAATCATCATCTATCCCATTGTCAGTTCCAACGCGCACGGGTCGGACAAGCGTCGCTTTTCTAAAAGGACTCACTTCCGGGTTCTCGTACGTGCCGCCGCTAATCTCTAGAAAGTCAATGCCAGCAGCAACAATAACTTCCAACTGCTCGACGCACTCCTCGAGCTCCGTTTGGCTTTGGTGATCGACGCTGTTGAGCTTGATGCCGACGCAGAATTCCTTGGGCACAGCCTTCCTCACGGCCTCGATAATCTCGACGACGATTCTGGCCCGCTTCTTGGGCGATCCGCCGTACGCGTCAGTCCTCGTGTTCGTCTTTGCGCTGAGGAACTGTGCCAGCAGGTAGCCGTGCGCCGCGTGGATCTCGATGCCGGCGAACCCTGCCTCGTGCGAGAGCTTGGCTCCGTCGACGAAGCGGCCCACGACGTGCTGGATGTCGGCCGTGTCCATTTCTCGCGGGCTGCCGAAGACGAGAGCGCTCAGGAACCGGGCAATCAGGCCGTCGCCCAGCCTTACCGGCACCACGCTCGGGGCAATCGTCTTGCCAAAGTACCCGTGGGACCCGGCCCCGGGCGTCGATTGTCTGCCGGGGTGGTTGAGCTGGACAATGGTCGGTGTGCCGTTTTTGCTGCAGGTGCTGGCCCATTGCTTCCACGACTGGAGGAGCTGCTCTCGCGGAATGTCGCTGTTGACGGCGTTGTCATCGGGCGTGCCGAGGTATGCTGTGTCTACCTGCACGTTGCCCGTCATTACCAAACCCCATTCGCCGTCTGCCCAGGCGCCATACGTCTCTACCAGGCTTTTGTGAGGAAGCCGATTCTTGTCGCCCCATCCCTCTGCCAGAGCCGCCTTGGCGAGGCGGTTAGGGATGGTGAGCCCGCATGGGAGAGTAAGTGGCCTGGCGATCTCGAGATCCATGGCGATGGCCTTGTTTCTGATTGCAGGGGATGTTGAAGTTGCTAGACAAGCATTTCGAGGTTGACGAAGGTAGTCTTGTTTATTTCAACTCTTGAGCAAGGGATCGGGCGAACAATTAAGCCGTCATGAATGAGGTCTTTCATCTCCATTTTTTTCGCTCTAGTCCGACATTCGGGATAGGGAGTTTTGCGGTGATATCCCTTCCCCTTAACCTCCGACGGAGTCTCGGCGCAAAGTTTGCAAGTTTCGAAGTCTAGTTGGCCATGGAAGTGGCTTAGCTCAAGAGTCAATTGTGGACACATCCGTCCGAAACCCGAGCCCCTTTCTGGCATTGGATGGCGTCCGCCGCAAACACAACGGGGAAAGCCGAGGTACATGGAAGGTTGAACTTGTCCAGGCCTTGGAAGGAGGCTTCTACATGTTGAGTGCTGCGCAAGTCGATGCCTTGGTGTAGCCCTTTGATGACGCGAAGACTCCGAGAATGGAGGACCAATAGGCGCGTTTTGCTAATCGATGCAGCCATTGCAACAATACGCGCACTGAATACAAAGGTACTAATACTCCAGGCCTGGTTACGGGGTCATTCCGGGATGCTCCAAGGGTCTTGTGGAGATGCAGATTTAGGGCCTCTGCGGCATCGATGGACATGGATATCGTTTACGTGCGATGTAACTGTGTGTCTGGATGCTATTTGAGCCAGGTCCCGTGTTAAGCTAATAGAAGCCCTGATTGCAAGTGGACAGAGACAAAGTCGCCACATGTCATGATTAGTATGGCCCGACGGAATAACGTCGTCCGCAACCACTAGACCGGGCAAGTATCCTCAAATTGACCACTACCCCTGGTAATTGTCCCGACGGATACGCGGTTCGAAGACGAGGGAGGCAGAAAATTGCCGGACAAATGATGAGTAAACATACTCATGATCGCAGTATGGCGAGAGACCTCCTTGTTAATAAATATACGATATTTATTTCGTAGCACCAAGACGAATTGTACTTGTCAACAACCAAAACTGCCATGTAAGCACATTGACAAATGCTTGTACGCTAGGCAAGTGTGCTCGACGTCTTAACCAATATCGCTAGAGTTCTAGTAAGTTTCTCATGTGGTTAATGCCTGCCATGGTCACTGGTGTACGGTCAGCACCTGCGCAGTCTCGCTAGCCTTGAGAGTAAGTTGTTGTCTACAAGACCTAGTAACTGTACAAATGGCAAGCCTTTGTAAAATTTGCCGCCAAAAAAAAAGCTCTAATCGCGAAACGACTAGACCTCACCCATATTCCATCAAGATAAATACACAAATGGCTTCACAATCGCCCAGCGTGGACTTGTGTACCGTGATGTATGCCAACCTAGTTGTATTAGTTACTACATACCTAGGTAGTCATATACAACGGACACCGTCAATTTCATACCGTAAAATATTAGCGCGCGCTTGCCGAAGGACAAATCCATTCCGCCATAGACATTCGCCATCAACGAAATCCGCCATGGAACAAGTCACCGTCATTCGAAACAAAGCGGCCCGGCAAGCTGTCATGATTTAAGAAAATTCTAAACTATCAAGTCTTTATCTAACCCAGCGTAGCACATGGCTCGATTTATCCTCTCTTAAGCCCATTACAAGACAGGCCAGGGCATTTATATCAAATTCCAGTCCTGAGCCTCATCCATCAATCCGTTGTGGCATGGAGCCATCTTTAGTTGGAGCACAGAGCCAAGGTGACATCAGCCGAATCACGGCAGTTCTTGACCTGGCTGCCGGCAGGAGGAATGCCGTTGGACCAGACAATGGAAGGGCATGAGGCGTCGGCACTGCCCTCGACAAGCTTATTCCCGGCGAATGCATCACCAAAGACATCGCTCAGATCGTACCAGACGGCGCCGTCTTTGAGGTTATAGGCAAAGATGGTCTGCGGCTTGCCGGTGTAGAGGCCATCAGGCTCCCTGGTAATCTTGAGAGCACGACCACCAGTCTTGGGGTCGCGGGAAAACTGCTCCCAGTACGCCTGGCCAGTTTGGAGAGTGTTTGCGTTGGAGACTTGGCTGCCAACAGACCAGACGGTCACGGGGAAGTCGCAGTTATTCTTGACAACGGCGTTGCCGACTGCCGAGACGGTTCCGGCAGTAGCAAAAGTGAGGGCGAGAATCTTGGCCTGGCCGAGCATTGTGAAAAGTGGTATGAGAGTTGAGGGGCGTATGGTTATGTTCTTGCTATGATATGATGCGATGGGAAAGTATTGCGCCTTGAGAGACTTTCATCATGGATCTGGGGGGGAGACAGCCGTTCCTTTTATACACGGATCCATGGGGACCTCTGGGAGTTTCCATGACGTGTGGTTGACCGTTGCGCTCGCCAAGTCTCGTCTGCGCAGCGCGAATATTGCTGCTCTGGTACATTGCCGCCTTGTGCCATTGGCAACATCAGCCTTGGGCACAGAAGGCGGGATACGAAGAAGGGATAATGCCGAGTGGTCGACCCGCCTTGGCTGCAGCCATCGTCGCAACGCATGCCACGTTGGAGCATGAGCGCAGGGTATCGAAGGCGACTGACGCTTCAATACGAGGCTGCCAAAAGCAACCACGGCAGCCCGGATTGTCAACTTTATTCGTATTGGTCCAGAACAGGAAACGGCACCGGCTACAAAGGAAACGGCCACATGATGACCTGCGGCTCACATCAAGTGTCATCCGATCAAGCGGAGGGATCGACAGTTGTTTCAGACGCCAAGCATCGTGTTTAATTCCTTCCAAAATGCGGGGGATCGGCATTCATCAAAGACAGGCAAACGCTCCATTATTTGACTGCCCACAGCCTAGACTATTGCTTATAATCGGGATCCTGGCGGATGCGCATCTACCCAAAATGGTTCAAAAATAGCGAGCCTTCTTCCTCTCCGGCAATTTGCATCTGGGTAGGGCCACAGCGGGCAGAGACGTGGGCGAACCGACCAGACTCGACACACTCCGCCTGCAGCTCTCGAATCGGTCAAGATGGAATAGGACCGAGGGATTTCAGCCCGAACGCTGCCACACTTTGCTCAATTGCGCCCGGTTCATGCAGCAGAACCGCATATATTTACATGCGCAACGTTGGGTAATACCTTGGGGGCCATGATATGACGTTGGTGTTGGTCTCTCACAGCTTCGCCGACACTGCTTTGTGGCCCCGGATGGCCGGCAGACAGAACTGTTGCGTTGGACTTGCGTCATTGTATCACGTCGGAACAATATGCTTACGCTGATTGATTGCTCGTCTTGGGCATCAGCTGAGCCGTTGCCTGGCTTCAATGTTCTGCCCCGTCGGCTGTCATCCGATGTGGCCCATGTGGGTTGCATCGACGGCTCAGATTGTCACCTCTCTCTGGGGCGCAGGACAAACTCTTGCTCAAATTCATTTGTCCACTGTACAATGAAAGGCGAATTGGACGGTCTTTTCATGCAATCCTACATTGAAAGGCTTCATCCCCGCGTGCATGAGCGCCCGCGCGGCAGGTTTCCTGTTGGTCTTGGCTGCGACAAGGGCGGAAATTGGAGGGCTGATTTAAAGCGTGTGAAGAATGGAGTCGTCTCTTGACTCTGGCGACAGACAATAAGAATTACAAAATCACGTCTTCATTGAGCAGACATGGACCAATTTTCTCCATCAAGTATTACACGAGGACTGCCACCCGGTAGCAAATGATGCGTACAGACAGATCCAAAGCACTGCAGTTTGGGCTGAAGATGACCAGTACGAACTGGTAGCCCCCAAAGTGCCCCCAATCAATATATGCAAAGCCTCCCCAGATGAATGGAGTCGGCCGGAGTTACAAGAGGCCAAGGCTGTCTGGTCAAGAGCTTTCGGGTTATCCGTGCCCCGACATCAAGGTGGAAATTGATGTCTTGATGGGCGCATTTCCGACGCGACATGCCAGCGCAAGAAGCAGCTTGCGGGCGACGGGCCATCATCTCGTCAAATGTTCAGTCGGCTTTTATAGCTAGATTCCTGACCGTCAACATCTAAATCCCTGACACTTTTAAACTCTTTGGTCGCGTGGAAAACACATCCTCTTGGGCACCAAGCATGCTTACGTCTGCTTCGCCCTAGTTTGCCGGGAAAGCCTTGATTCGACAAATAATGTGATGAAGGGAAAGGGAATAATCTGACATGGCTGACTGGTAGGACCCGTCCAGCGTCTTGCCGTCCAAGCGTCAGATTGGCTTCGGCTTTGCTGAGTAACGACAATTTACAGACTAATTCAGCTAACAATCTTACTCAGCGGGGAAATCTCAGTAGATATTCTCAGTGATGCACTGGGCTTGGGTGTGATGGAAAATTTGACATCACCTCGTACTAAACCGCTGGCCGCCAGCGAGAAGGAAGATTCATACAACGGTTAGCGTATAACACTTATCATCAAGATTTCATTGTTGCTCAGAGCGCTCTATGGATTACACGTTCCGTGAGTTGCCGTCTGCATGGTTTACACAGTTCGTCCAAGAGCCTCATACTAGCTGAATAGTCATTTAGTCTAGCCACATTTGCCAGACTGAACTGGTAAAAGTCCTTGTAAATTCACAGGGAATGCACATATATAAATTGCGGTGAACAAAGGCCGCATATATTTGTCCTGGGCCCGCCATAAAGAACAGCGTTCAAGCGTTCGCAATCCCCCTCCGAGTGAATTTGCCAACTCGTATCCATCTTAGTGAATTCTAGCACAAGATAAAACAAATCAGACAAAGTCGTCATAAAATGCAGAAACTTTGGTCCCTGCGACTTTCCATTTCGCAGCAAGCAACCTAGTATCGTACATGGGTACTAGGTTGGTTCAAGAGATGGCCTTGCACCGGCATGAGCTCCAAAAATCGGCTCAACCGTACGCTAGGTATCATACTGGTCTTGATATTGAAATTGCGTAGAAACATGGATTAACTGCACCCAATCTTCCCATCCAGCACGTTGGAGACGACAAAATATACTTCAAAGTAACCATAACACCAGAGGCTCGAACCCGGCACCTCGATATTGAATAGCCACAATTTATTCGACTTACGCGGACCAACAAAGGCATCCTCTCAATCTGTACTTGTCATTGGGCTGGCGAAATTGACATGCCACTACTCCGTACCCTTGATGTGGATGGTTCATTACATGTTGCCGTCAGCTACCACGATAACGCAACCACACAAATGACAGACAATGTTGCTTTCAAATTATTTAATAATGAAAACCTATTATCAACATGTCTTTTCCGACGCCAGAGTAGGGTTTTCTGTCTTTTCATGGGAACAACAAGATCATTTTACGTGTGGGCATTAAAGGATGTTCAAAAAGCTAGGAAACAGCGGTTCTATAGCAGTTATGGGGTATCGTAAAGAGGACACAAGCCCATATTGTTCCAGGAGCGTAGCACGGCAGGATAACTTCGGAACTCATATTTCAAAGGTACACGGGGATGAGTTATCGGTTGCCGCCGCGACTTCTTGGCGAATACCTTATTCCGCTAAAATCGCATCATACAAGGCCTCTGTAGGCAGAGAGCTGTCTAAAGGATGACCCTGACTGTCCCCTGAAGCCCCAAGCATCTACCACGTACTAGACTTGGATTATCATTACGTGGAGATATATGGAGGGAAATTGTTAGCTTCCGTGGCACGTTATCCAGCCATCTTCATTACTGCCTCAGGTACAGCTTTTATACCTCACACAGGGACTTGCGCACCAGTAATACCAGTTGTACCACGCCCGGGATTTAATGTGTCGATGAACACGGGCTCTTGCCCGCCCGTTCTGCGCCATCAAGAGACTGGGACTATTGCGGAAGAATCCATTACCGAACAGGCCTAAAACTTGACGAATCCTCTGTTCGGCAGCAGCAAAGAATCATACAATATAACACGAGCCGGAAATCACAAAGACGGTGCGACCAAATTGAATAAAGACACGGAACAACCACTGACTTGTAGAAGGGCCCCAGCAGTAGTAAAAGATTTGAGTCTGTCGGCAACTTCATCCTCGAGTTTCTGAAAGAAGTGCCGGCTGCCAGGCGTTATCATGACTATATGCCCTGTTTACCGATTTGCCAGTTACTCATCGGAAACACGGCAGCTCGTCGGAATCAACACAAGGACTGAATAATTTGTCGTGTAGGACAACGTGGGAACATATACATTAGTGTACCCCTAAATGGCCCAACTTGCGTGGCAGCTCATATATCGAATGGAGCCGCGCCCACCGGGGCTCGTCATATTTTACGGGGTCTGACTTCAAAAAACTAGTTGCTGAGGGGGCCAGGGGCGGAGAAATGAAGCCTGCTGCCTGGTTTTGCATTCAATATTTCTGGGAAACAAGGCTCCGTCGCCTCGAGGGGGGATCGGCATGTCGCTTCAAGATGTTGTAATGCAATGAGTCGGAACAATTGGATTTATAAAAAGTGAATGGTCATTTCTATATTACCTTTTAGCAAAAAATAAATGATTTATTAATTAATTTTTAGTTGTTTCACTTTATAGTCAAATTAAATAACAAGCATGATACAAGTATCGTGCAACCGTAAAATCTAAAACAGTATTAGGCTGTACCAGGCCAAGGACAGTAAGAGACTAGAAAAGTAGACCGTCTACGCATCGTGACGCGTCAGACGTACCAGCGCAATTGTGCGTGGCCCGGTAGCCGCGGAGATGAACAATTCATGCCAAATTTTCAACTTTTCGAGTTTCGGATGCAGTAGGACGTGGAGTCGTGATTCATCTATGTTTATTCGGCTGAGAGAGTAGCATTCGGTTGTCCTATACTCTACCGCTCAATCTAATAGTGAGGTTTCGGCTTTGGAGCAGGACGAGCAGGCTTCTTTCATGTTCATAGAGAGAACTTTGGGGTAATTCAAGATTTAGGCCTCTGTCTTGGTACTGTGAGAAATCGCTAAGACGCGATCAAGCCCGGACAAGTCTGGTATTTGGGAGCTTGGTACTTCAGTGCCAGGCTGACATGGGTCAAGGGTGAATACTTTGGCCCTAGGACTTGGTAGACACGCGGAACCGGGATTAGAATCGCTCCAGTCTCGGTTTCTGCAAAAACGACAGGCTGCTGCCATTTGTGCCCAAGTAGAGATGGTTTGGTTTTCCTTTACTGCGTTGCACGACAGGTTAGTTGTCGAGCTTACTACTCAAGCGACCGTCGCTA